ATACAAATTGTTCCTTTCCTTCCTTTTTTATTGCTGCATACTATTCTCTGCTACCGAGAGATCACATTTTGTCTAGCCATTCATCCCTTGAAACACATTTGGTTGTTTCTGGTTTGGGGCTATTACAAACAAAGTTGCTATAAACTTTCATGTGCAGGTGTTTCTGTGAATATATGTCTTCATTTCACTGGTGAAAAAAAAGCCCAGGATATTGCAATTGCTGGGTTGTATTGTGGTTGTGTATTTCGTTTGTCAAGAAACTGGCAAACCCTTTTCCACACAGGCTGTGCCATTGCTGCCCACCAGCAAGCCATGTGTGAGCGATCTAGTTTTTCTGCCTCCTTGTCAGCACCTTTTTGCTCAGTGGCTGCTCTTATTTGCAGGTTGCTGGCTCCTCCATTTCCAAGTCTAGGATCTATGAGGCAAGAAGAAACCCCAGGGCCCTCCCCTCCCCAGGGTGTCTCCATTTCCTAGCTGGTCTGTCTTCTCTCCACCAGGCGGAGAGAAAGCAGGGACTTCCCATTGTGCTTACTAGGAGGATAAGGAAACGTCATATTCTCCATCTTTCTGGAACCAGAAGTCATGTTCTCTTTAAAAGTCAGTCTAAGAAGAAAAAAAAAAAAAAAACAGTTCAAGGAAAGGGCTCAAGTTCAAAGTGAGGATTTCAATGGAAAGTCCATAAAGCTCTCACTGGTGAAGGTCCCCCCGGCAGACCCACAACCTCTGTGCACTGGGCAGGAGGGGCTCACCCTCCCGTTAGCCGAGACTTGCGACCCAGCTGCACCTGGGAACTCAGGGAGGCAGAAGTCAGAGTCTTCAGGGATGTCAGGAGACGATGCCATGGGGCAGAGGAGGGAGTTGGAGGTCTCCTCTGTTCCTGGAGTCCTGTCCAACCATGTATCCCCCACTCAGAGTGCTTTGTCCTGGGTAAAGAGGTACTAATCGTTATCTGCTTCCTCAGAGGATAGCCACTGTGGCAGGATTTCCCTGTCGGTCCCCCAAGGACCACCACTTATTTCCAGGAAGTTCAATAAATGTCCCTGCGTGTCTAATCTGGGATCACAGAGATAATCATTGCCTCTTGCCCCCCGCAGGAATCGCCCGTCCGGGAGCTGGCCATGGCCTAGAACCAGGCCCTTCCCCTCCCTGTGAGGAACACTGGGAGCCCATGGGCTGTGGGGCCAGAGGGCCTCAGAGCAGCTGACCCAGCCTGGACGTCAGGGGCCTTCCAGAAAAGATTCCTCCCCCGTCCCCACATGTCCGTTCCTGGAGGACTTCACCCAGCACCAAATCACCCTCTGTTCCCTCGTGTTCATTTGTTGTCTTGCAATCGTCACTGCTTGAGGCATAAGTTACATTTATTGGTTCATCTGTATTTTTGTTTGGTTTTGCTTTGCTCTGCTGCTAGAAGGTCAGCTCTCTGAGGACAAGGCACTGTGTGTCTCAGTCCCTGCTCTATGCCCAGTGACTTGGTCCATGTCATGTGCCTGGTAGACACCTGATAGTTTCTTTCCTAATTCTTTTGGTATCACAGGCAATCCCAGACATTCCAGGGATTCAAAAGTCCAGTCCAATTTTAAAACTTCAATCTTGGGGTGGCTGGGTGGCTCAGTTGGTTGAGCTTCTGCCTTTGGCTCAGGTCATGACCCCAGGGTCCTGGAATCAAGTCCCACATGGGGCTCCCTGCTCAGCGGAGAGCCTGCTTCTCCCGCTGCCTGCTGCTCCCCTTGCTTATGCTCATTCGTGTGCACTCTCTCTCCCTGACAAATAAATAAATAAAATCTTTAAAAATTAAAAAAAAAAAAAAACTTCCATCTCATATCCATTTTAACATTCATCCCAGTTTTTTTCTGGGATCAAGCTGTGATGCAACCTTGGACTTACCATCTGGAGGGGGTAGGATTTTCCCTTCTACTTCTCCTCTGCCCCCAGGTGTGTGCATCTGGGGAGGAGGGATGGAGAGACAAGAGTTCTAGTTTTTTTGCCTTTTGGTGCCATTGTCCTCTCTTGACTCTTTGCATTTTTTGCATTGCAGGCAACCACAGACGTCCTCTGGGACGGAGATGTGCCTTCTCTGCCTTAAATTTCCCTGCGGGAACTCTCTACTTTCTGCTGCCCTTGAGTCTCATTGCCTGCTCCCCACCCCTGTGGTGAGGGACAGCAAGGCTGCTCCAGCCCAAAACCTTCCACAGCCCCTGTTCCTTAAGCGGGCACTCTGCATGTCCTCAATCCTGCTCAGGGTGGCATATCCCTAACCACCATGACTGCCATAGCCCCTCCACCATAGTTGAACTAAATAACCTCACCCCAAACCTTCCCCAGCCCTCTTCCCTCCTCATCTTCTCTACATTTTTCATGCTCTTATCTCTGGCTAAAACCCCTCCCCCACCTCCACCCATCTCCCTGTGACAGGCTCCATGGCCAAGGGCAACGCTGCTTTGTCCTCAGGTCTTCCCTCCTCTTGACTCTGGTTGTTCTCAGCCCTGGGGCATCCTGCAATCCCCCGGGACTCTGTAGACCTCCAGAAAGTCTCATTCAGTTGGTCTGAGCAGGGTCTGGGCAGGGGCATTGGCTTAACCACTGCCCATATGGTTCGTTCCAATGTGCCATCCAAATAGGCGTCCATGGGCCAGAGGGACTCACTTGTCTTTTACTCAGAGGACTGTCCTCCCTCCCAGCCTGTGTCCACTACAGACTGGCCGCAGAGGGAGGCCTTGTAGAATAGCGAGCATTCATGGGAAGCTTACCAGATGCTATGGCTTGTCCTGAGTCCTGTACGTGGACTCTCCCCTTTACTGCCCCAACCGCTCTAGGAGGCGGCCCCAGAGCCCAGGCTGACACCTGTGGTCTCTCTGCAGTTTGGGTCTAGTCCAACTCCCCCCACCCCCATAGCTACTGAACGCAGATGAGGAAACAAGTGATGGCTTTGTCCTAGGCCACACTGTAAGTCAGACCCAGTGCAACATTTCTCAGTGAGATTTATTCCTGTTACTGCTTTCATGATGGCTCCTCTTCCAAAACACCTGTTTGGTTATTATGTAATTTTTTTTTAATTTCAAATTTTATTTCAAATGTTCTTTGTACTCAGCTTCACCTACGCAAAAATATCCATAGTACCGAAGGTTTGATGCTGGGAATATTTTTCTAAAGCACACTGGAACAATAACTTTGTGTGTGCGCACACCTGTGGGTATACCAGCCCTCATCGGCTGTAAACAGGATGTTCAGCCATCCTTCCCCCTTAACATCGTGGAGCTGAAATATACCTGGAATAAAAAAAATTTTTTTTAATTCATATAAAAGCCTGGGTTTTTTTTTAAGATTTTATTTATTTTTTGACACACACACACACACACACACACACACACACAGAGAGAGAGAAAGTACAAGCAGAGGGACAGGCAGAGAGAGAGGGAGAAGCAGACTCCCCGCTGAGCAGAGAGCACAATGCAGGGCTCTATCCCAGGACCCTGAGATCATGACCTGAGCTAAAGGCAGACACTTCACTAACTGAGCCACCCAGGCACCCCTAGAACCTGTTTATTAAAAGAGCATCTCCTCCAACACAAACAGTTTTTGCCTGGAATTTGCTAGAAAACCTAACAAGATTTTTAAGTCCATGTCTCTTAGCTGCTTTTAGTTTTACAAAGTTCCAGACCTTTATAAGACATTTCATGAGAGGCAGCTCTCCCTTTGGAAAGAGTGCTGGGGCTGAGGGAACCCTCGGGATACATGTGTCATTATTACCTTTTCAAATATTCATCAAAATGGGTGTTTGTATTTTTATAGCCCTTCCACAAAAGCCCCATTTTTAATGCAGAGGATTCTGGCCTGGCCTCTGGCATTAGGCTAGTCTTGGGCCCATAACCCACATGCCAAGTGAGCACCGAGAACAGGGTTATAGAAACTCAGAGGAGGGGATACATAGATGCTGTGGACGGCAAGACCCAGAAAGACGTCAGTGAAGAATGGATGGGTTTGAAGTAACCTGGCTTAGCCCAGGGTCGTGAGCATAGAGATGGAGCGAGCAGCACAGGTTTGGAAGGCTTCCTACCCTCCTGCCTGAGTCAGAAGAAAATCAGTTCCTGTGTCGTATCCCTTGTACCGATAAACTCCCAGATCCCCAAAACAGAGTTATTATTTTAAAACATCATACTTTCAGGGACATCTGGGCAGCTCAGTCAGTTGACCACCCAACTCCTGATTGCAGCTCAGGTCGGGATCGTGGAGAGGTGAGACCGAGCCCCGCATCAGGTGCCGCGCTGAGTGCACAGTCTACCTGAGAGTCTCCCTTGCCCTCTGCTCCTCCCGCTGCTTGCGCTCTCTCTGTCTCTCTTTAAAATGGGTCAATAAGGGGCGCCGGGGTGGCTCAGTGGGTTAAAGCCTCTGCCTTCGGCTCAGGTCATGATCCCAGGGTCCTGGGACCGAGCCCCGCCTCGGGCTCTCTGCTCAGTAGGGAACCTGCTTCCTCCTCTCTCTCTGCCTGCTTCTCTGTGATCTCCATCTGTCAAATAAATAAATAAAATCTTTTTTAAAAAATGGGTCAATAAATCTTTAAAAAAAAGTGCTTTTAAAAAGTTGATACGATTCACACCTTGGAGATTGTGGGAAGTCAGATGGAGGCATCTCTGGGGATAATGTGCAGATCATTGGACTAGGTGACCATAAAGTTGAGAGATATTGGCATCATACACAATGTCTTTGTAGAATTGGGAGAAAGGGGGTTTTGTTCGGGAGGCAACGTGCACTGCTATGTTTGTTACCCTCTGGCTCCAAACAATGTCTCTCCAACTGACTGCAAATGCTGCATATGTTAGAAAGCAGAGGAGGGGAAGGAAGAGGGACTCTCATAAGCTCCTGATTGTTCTGCACACCCGTGGGCAGAAGAAGTATGGCTGGAATTAGGGGGTCAGGGAGAAAGGGATGCGAGGCAAAAATTATCACTGTGAGAGTCCACATTCAACCAGTGACGACGGGGAAAACTCTTCTTTTACACCTAGGACATAGTGGACAGCAAGGGGATAGAAAGACAACAGGTCCCCACCGTGAGCTGCTCTGTCCCCGGGAACCCGGAAGAACTGGAGACTGCAAAGGAGGACCCCCAGACCACAAATACAACCGAGAATAGTAATTCCATCATGAGCTTCCTTAAAACTCTGGTGAGTGGTTGCTTCTCCTTCTTTCCTTAATCCCATCGCTCCAAAGTTGTGTTAATTCCGAGAATAATATATATTTGCTATTGTATTGGGCGGGGGGGATCATGATGGTGTGGCTGGAACATTGGAGAACAGGGACGGGACGTGCTCTGCAAGGGAATTGGGTCACATGGAGCTTTCAGTGATGGAGCCCTTAGAGCTGGGAACTGTGGGGTAAACAGCAGGTGCCTGAACTATGTGAGCTACTTTGCAACACAACTCTCCCGTGGTCCCATGTCTTATGGTCATTGAACATAAACATAGAGAAAAAGCTCCTTGAGCTGTCGACCTATCAAAGCAGTTTTGCCATTCAGATGGCAACTAAAACTGTAGAAATCGATTCCTATCCAGAGGCAGGGACCCATGTCCTGTAATGCTTGCTTGTCTCTGACTCCTCAAGGCAGCCATGGCCTGGTCCACGCCAGACCTGTGAGAGGGCTGAATGAATCAATGAATCAATGAATGACTAATCACATGGACAGCTCCAAGTGTGTTTGGGTTCTTTCCAAAGCCCAAGACTAGCCTCAAAAAAGTGAAAACCAGTCAACAGAACATGTCACGAATACCAAAGTGGTGTGCCTTTGCTTGGATCAGTGGTAGGAGTGATGGAAAGTCTCTGGCCTTCCAGGAGACAATTTTGAAGGTGGTCAAGCTCTTAGTGAATGTATAAGGTCTGATGCATTTCATCATAAACCCTGACTTTTTAAAAAAAAAAAAACTTGTTTATACCTAGAAATTATCCAGAAGTCCATGGCTATCTACCGAACTTGGTAGAACGCTTTTGTACTGAAAAGGACTTCTCATTACATTCGTTACCTGCAGATTGAACAGCAACAACCCCCTGAAAAACGATGTCTCTATGAAATCAAATCACCCTAAAAAGATAGCTATGATTTTTAATATTTGGTTTTCTTAAACTTTTAAGGTTTCACCTAGCAAAACTGAAACAAAAAAAGATCTGGAAGACACGGTAGGTAGTTTGAAGTGTGTTCCTGTTTGGATTTGTGCATGGGAATGGATTTGGATTTGTGTCTGCTGCTTGGTTTCTTGAAGTTTGTGTGTGTGTATGTGTTCAGCAATGTCACAGTGCTGTTAGATTGTCTTTAAAGTGTTTCATTAGTGTCGGCGGTATTTTGATGAAAATTTTAGTGGAAAGCTTGAAATATTTGCTATCTCTGGATAAATAATGACACAATCACCAATTTCTTATATAAAATAAGAACGAAATACTAACAACCACATATCATGTTGGTCTTTTTAACTGTGCATGGAGAGACCCAGGGAATATAGGAATATAGCACAAATTAGCTACTAGAAATGAGGAAGAGGTGAATTACAATTTAAAGTAGAAGTAAACTGCTCTATTTTTGACTTTTAAAAAATACGTTCCATGTTTTTCATGTAATTTGGAAAAAATAAATCTCCACAAAGACAATTGTTGGTGAAATCAAATAGTCACCACTGGGTGCTTGCCAAGGGAAGGAATGTTTAGAGTTAGGATGCCCTAGAGAGCCTGAATTTTTTCTCTGTCATCCTAGACATACAACCAATTCCCTTCAAAATAAATTTTATTTGGAAAAACTACTTCCTAGAGATGTTTTCCTTTACCCTTGACAGAACTGATTATCCCTAATGGAACACATGGTTTAACTTTCACGGGAATCGTGAGGAAAGTTTAATTTGGTGACAGATAAATGTCTTGCATCCTTCTTTTGATAACTGAGGGTGCTTTGAGAGACGCTGGGACCCAGTAAATGGCTGGGCCAGCCCAATACATCTGTTACCAATATTTGAAGGGACCAGGTTGCAAAAAGGATTCTAGAATTTGTCTCAAGACCTGCGTTTGAGCTCCAGGCCTGCTATGTGGTAGCTGTGTGACGTGATCCGAACCTATGTGAATCCAACATCTGTAAAATCGGGGCAATAAATTCTGTCTCCAACCCCAGCTTTGAAGCAAAGTGTGACAATGCCTGGCAAACTGTGGAACTCTGTTCAAATACAGGCGATCACTATTTCCATAATCACTGCCAGACGTATTGGACACCATGATGACAATTGTAATGTATCAATTGCTTCTTCTAGAATGTTCTTCTTCCATTCGAAAAAAAAATATTTATCTGACTCATCTACATGTTTTTTCCTATAAAATTAGTCGTTTGCTATAAGGCAGCTGGGGTCAAGTTCAATGAATAGTTGGATCCAAATGTTTCTTTTTTGATTCTATGTCTTACATTGTTTGAAGTCACACAGTCAGCACAATAGGCTATAAACAGTGGGGTACGTGGGTGTGTTGTGTGGCTTCCCAAGTGACCTGATGCGCTCATTCTCTTAGCTGCTCATGCACCAAGACTCCTCCCTCCACCCCCCAGAATGTGGTCCCAACTGCACGAACCTAGCTGATAAGATCTCACTACCCTGCCCAGAGAGGTCAGGGTCACTGCCAGTGGAGCTGAGTCTCAGAAGAGGGTTTTGTGAATGTAGGTTGTCTAATACGCAAACCGACCTCTTTCCACAAACCTGCATTTTTAACATCCTTTCTACCAAAGTTCTTGGATTCTTGCTTTCGAAACACATATACTGTTTGTCCGTCTTCCCATTTGGCCCAGACAATTTTTTTTAAAGATTTTTATTTATTTATTTGACAGACAGAGATCACAAGTAGGCAGAGAGGCAGGCAGAGAGAGAGGAGGAAGCAGGCTCCCCGCTGAGCAGAGAGCCCGATGCGGGGCTTGATCCCAGGACCCTGGGATCATGACCTGAGCCAAAGGCAGAGGCTTAACCCACTGAGCCACCCAGGCACCCCGGCCCAGACAATTTTGAACACACTCCACGCTCCATGCAAAATCCCCCACCATTTGTAACTTGAGTCGACAACTCTGAATGGTTGTGGCTGGGCTGTTTCAGCTCAGCGGACTGGCGCGCAGTAGACGCTTCTCTTGCCGGGGAGATCTATCCATCTAGAAGTCAGTTGAAATTTTTGCAGATGATATGGCTTCCCTGAAGTTCCTAACACTGAATAAAAGATGGGTTGGAGAAAAGAAGCCACTGGAGACAGTGTTTGTTTTGACTCCAGGATGCAAAAATAAATGGTTTTCATGTATCTTTTCCTTTCCCGTGTGACAAGAGTATTTCGATCTTTAAAACTATCGAGTAGGGGCGGAGTTACCTTTTTTTATCTGAATATTTTATATCATACGAATCAAGCTTAATGTCCTGTCTTTGTCTTTAGCAAATGGACTTGCGTTAATCTGGGTCACTTAAATAGGTTGCCCTGTTGAAAATCATGTACTGGAAATGGTCTGGGAATCTACCAGGTAGTAAATTGTCTTTGAAAGTTTAAAAAAGATAAACATTCACGTGATGTGAACGTTGTGGTTGGGGATGGGGTGATCGTGAAAGTGGCAGTTAATTGTGAAAGTGTTTCAATGCACTTAAAAATGACAGGGGAAAAAAGAAGGATTTTGTCTAAAAACAAAGTTCTAAGCTGTGACTGCTGTTGCCCAAAAGGCATCCAAAGCAGAAAGTGTCTGTGATGGTCAACCAGGACAGAAGACCTGTGAGAGCCAAGCTAAAGGCGTCAAGAAAAAGCACCTGCATAGCCCCAGGCTAGGATTCGCATTTAGAAAATTCTTTAGGCATAAGGTCTGTATCTTGTTAAATTAGAAAGAAAAAAAAAGAAGAAGAAGAACCCTGGTCTTCACCATATGTACACGTGGCTGTGCTGGGTCCCTCCAGCTCTACTTTGGGGAAGACAGCCTGGTGTGATTGGGATCATTCAAGGGAATTAAAAATGACGTGAACCAAATTTCAATGATTCTTTTAAGTCTCTGTAATTATTCATAAACATCTGACTAGTTTCTTCCTAGTGTGGACCAGGGTTCTGAAATTATCCTTCTAACTCAGTGTTTCTCAAATGTCTGAAGCATGCATACCATCTTCATCATTTTTGTCAGATGTAGTATTATTTGGTTGATCTTTTTATATTAAAAAGGACTCATTTCCTATTTAAAGAAAACTTTATATTACCAGATGTGTGGAAAACTCGAGTCATTTTGCATAAAGAGTTAACCATGAATATGGCTCACAAAAAAAAAAAATTGTATTCTAGCTACCTTGTTTGTGTCAAGCTCCAAATCTAATGCCTTTCTAGCCTTATTAAAATGCAATTTGCCAGCAATAGAAAAATGTTAAAGATGTACCAAGACCAGACTAAGCTTTTCCCCCTGAGTGTTCTTAAAAAGATTAGATGAGAATTGGGGGGGAAATGTATTTTCTCCATTTTAATGGTCTTTTTTTAAATGTTTTATCTCAGCACAACCTAAAGTTGTATATGATACCACCAATGGTATGCTTCCTACACTTTGGGAAATACGCTTCTAACCTCAAGAAAATCATCTTATCTTTCTGTGGTCTGTTCCACCCATTCTCAGTCTTAACTAAGCTCATACTGATCCCAGATAAAAACCCAAGCACAAGAAAACAATGAATGAAGGCAGAGCAATTTCTATCTCCATGCCCTTGGGAAGTGAGGACAACATAGAAGTCAGCTGTGGAGTTTTCTCTCTTTGAATGGCTAAGAAGACACCAGGGTTTGTCTGAAACCAGCAGTTAAGATCCTTGAATTGGGCCAGCATCCTTGGACATTTGTTTGAAATATCTGCCATTCTCCACTAAGTTGAATGAACTTAAGGAAAAAAAAAAAAAAAAAAAAAAAAAACCTTCCCCAGTGGGATGTATAGCCCCAGGATTGTGTAGGCAAGTAAAAACTCCATAGAAAGATCTCCCGGCTGAATCTATATTTGCATAAGCAAACTGTGTTATGAAGCCACTCTTGAATTTCCATACAGGCTGATTTGTTTTGTAAAGACAGCAGGGGTGGAGGGATAGAGATTGCGTAGAGGGGGTGGTTGAGGATTAAAACGTGGTGCTACTGTATGTGGGAGACCATTCAGTAACAGGGTCATGTAAGTGTGTCATGGACCTCGTGCAGAGAAATGCACTTGGAGCTTCTGCGAGTCGGGGGTCTTGAAAGTTTACAAAGTGTATGACCTTCCCTCTCGTACCTGCCTTTCCGGTGGCATTCATCTTATGCACAGCTAAGTTTCATGCCTCCAGAATCTCTTTCCTCCACAAAAAGGGGGCCAGCCATGTTCTGTATTCTTTTTTTTTTTTTTTTAAGATTTATTTATTTATTTATTTGACAGGCAGAGATCACAAGTAGGCAGAGAGAGAGGAGGAAGCAGGCTCCCTGCCGAGCAGACAGCCCGTTGTGGTGCTCTATCCCAGGACCCTGATATCATGACCTGAGCCAAAGGCAAAGGCTCAACCCACTGAGCCACCCAGGCGCCCATGTTCTGTATTCTTAAGGTCCCCCCAGATCACTGGCTTCACATCCTGGCACTGAGTTACGTTTTGGGCAAAGATAGGATTCAGGGGAAATACTGGGAAGAAGGAGAAGAGACACCCCTTTCTGGACTGTAAGGTTTTGCCTTTTTATGTAAAGTAAGGAGATAATTCCCAAATGTTCTCATTTGTGCAGCAATTTGCTAGCGCTTTTTGGCTTTTACCTCCTTTTACCTCACTTTACGATTCTGTCATCCAAAAAGATAGGAAAATAGGGCCATTAACACGGACCAGACAGACAGTTGCATGGTTGGAGGAGGTGTGTGGTTCATTCTCAATTTCGTTGTAACCTTGGAAAGAAAAGAGGAAATCCAAGCAAATTCAGGGATAAAAACATCATCTTCTGGTTTTGCAATTCAAGAAGGAAAAAAATACAATGAGGACCCATTGGGATCAACTCCTAGATTCCCATCTCTTTATCTCCATTTTTCCTCCTATGAAAAGAAAATTTTCTTTAAAAAATTTTTTTCTTAGTATAAAAGAATAGGGAGTCCTGGAATTAATCAGTGAATAAGCTTCTTGTTATAAATAGAGTGTCAGCTTTTCTTTGCTGAATTTGGATCTTTCTCTCTTGGCTTAATCACATGCTATGCTTCGGAATCAAACTTTTTCACATGTTCCTCAAACACTGAACATGACAACACGCACACAAGGCAAGGCATTGTTTTAGGATTTTTTATTTATTTATTTGTTTATTTTTCCTGTCATACCCAGAAATGCACGTTTCCCCACTCAGGTTTTCTTGTCGCCCACCCTCTCTGTAGGGCTACTAAAATATTAGTAGGTGGCTTGTGTGATTCCTAAGCTCTGCCCCACATTCATTGTTTTCCATTCCTCGGTGTCATGTTTACCTCTAACTAACCGCTCCCCTCTTCCACGCCCAAGTGTGAAACAAGATGAACACTTAACTAGGGAAGAAGGTCAGGTCATTTGATACGCAATCTCCAAATCTAGTATGTTAGAATTTCATGGGTAGTGTTGCCAGTTAAAATACAGACACTCCCTTAAATTCAGATTTCAGATAAACAGCAAATAACTTTTTAGTATAAATATAAATATGTCCCAGGCAATCCTAGGAATATACATTCTTAGGCTTCAAAATTATTCTTCCTTGATCTGAAATTCAAATTATCAGGGTTATCTTATCTTCTTTTTATTGAGAGTGTTGGCTAAATCTGGCAACGCTATCCATGAGATTGACTCCGGAAAATACCGAGTTTTTGTGATCTCTTCCACAATGCAGACAAAGAGCATTAATATTCAGCTGTCAGAACAGCACCTGGGGCACTTCTTTGGGAAGTGAAAAGATGGATGGGCAGGGAGAAAAGACTGCAGGTGGTCTATGGCTCCAGAGCCCACTAAGGAGGGGGAGGGTGGGCAGCAACAATGTGGCAGGATCCTGTGTAGGCATTTCTCTCTGGTTCTTTCCATACAATTATTTAGTTATTTATTTAATACCTACTTTGTGGCGGACCCTGGTCCTGATGGGAGCTACGGATGTAATGGCGTCCAAGGCAATGGCTCTTACCCTCAAAGCTCATGATCTGGGCAGGAAGATACATATTCGACAAACAATTACACTAATATATTACAGTTATATTATTCTATATATAATACAGTTATCTCTTTGCAATGTTTTTTAAGAGTCTCTGGGTATTTTCCCAGCGCAAAGAGAAGAGGATGGCCCATTTCCCGATGAAACCGATGAGTGTGGATGTGTTTCTCAGCCTTTTTGTCATTATCACCTTCCCAGTGTGAAACTTTTTTAGATATTTTCTCCTTGGATGGGTACAGTAGCACAAGGAGTGGGGAGACTTTGGTTTGTTGGAGGCGGTGTAGTATAGAGGAGGGGGTAAGACCTTGGGTTTGGGTGTCAGATTCCCCGGATTTTGATGTCAACTCTGGCCCCTTATTAGTGTAGTTGTGGGAAAGTTTTTTAACCATCTGGGACCAAAATTTCCTTCTCTGTAAAATGAATGTAATAATCAGCTCCTTCCTCATAGAACTACTGTTAGAACATTCAGTCATTTAGAACAGTGTCTGGCACTGGTATCTTTGATTGTGATTATTAAATCAAAGTTAAAAGTTGGAGACAATGTCCCTTACATTTATTTTAACCTCTTTTAATTTCACAACTGGATTCGTCAAATAGTACGTGTATAATATAAGCAAATGCACACGTATTGGAGGTACATATTCAAACTGTTTTCACTGATGGGAACATCATCAAAACCATTTGAAGACCAGTGGCCTCAGTATAAACTAACTTTCTCACAGGAATGTGCCTCTTACCAGCACCTTGATTCCTAATGACTTATATAACGTAATGTATTCTTTTGCAAAAAGAAACTATCTTGACTTTTCCCAAAATTTTAACACAAATCCGCATTCATATAGAATCTTTTCAAGGACAGAAAATGATAAAAAAAGAAAATTAACATGTGTAATCCCAGCGTAGGCTTATTAAAAAAGAGATCTCACACTTTTGAAATCCAGAGGTCATTTTAATTTTTTTTTTTAACTCTCTAGGGTGCTGAAAAGTCACCTGCCACTTCATCTGATGTCAAGTCAGACAAAGCAAACTTTATCTCCCAGGAGACCAGAGGGGCAGCTAAGAACCCTCCATCCACCGATACTGCAAAAGAAACTGCCAAGGAAAAGGGGGGACCCAGCTCTCTGCCTCTGGGCAAACTATTCTGGAAAAAGGTAAGTCCCATTTTCAAGACTTGTGGAGTATAGTTGGGGCTAGGGTGACTGGAGAAATTATTTCATTTGGGGTCACCCCTGTGCTCACCAAGTACAGAGTTTATTTCCCCCCCCCCCCCACCAAATGACTCAACTAGCCATTGAGCTGAAACCTTGTAATTTACTCCTGGGAAGAATGAAGTGTCTATGGTGTGAGAAGCATGTGTTTCATGGGAAAGACAAGGAAATAAGTCGATTTTTTCATTCTTGGAGTTTCTTCGGTTCATGACAGACAGTCGTGATATTTCGTGATTTCATTTTCTTTCCAAAATGGCTTAGTACTCTGGATTCCTCTGACCACTGTCCCCACCAGCAAGCTGAACCACCTCTGGGCGCCACTCTCTTTCCCTCAGCAAGATAGAATCAGTCATTATGAACCACTAAAGCTCACTCTGCTTTTGGAAAAATGAGGTGTCTACCATTCACCACCAGGGCGAGCACACACCGTGCTCTGTGATAGGAGCACTCAAAACAGTGTCTCATTTTCTTCCCTCTAGAATTCTGGTGGCTCACAAGGGAGCGCAGTGCGGTGGGTGGGACTGAGTCAGCCTGCGAGCTAGGCCTTGATCATCATTGCTGAGCACAGCCCGGTTGCCACACATGTTCAGAACTCTTGCCTCTTTTAAATGTGGCCAAAAGATGAGCAAGATGTCGTGGGTGAGAGAGGGGAATATAAGTCATAGAGCTGAAAAAAAAAAATCAAATTAGGAATTTCATCAAAACACCCATGCCACTTAGCACGTAGTGCAAGGCAGGCCAGAAATACAGATACCGCTACAGTGTTCACTTTGTTCTTTGGTCCAGAATCCAGCTGGATTTCTGGAACCCTTTTCTGTTGGCTTTCTGTCGTACAGAAATCTTCCTTCTGGGTTCTGCCCAAAACACAAACTCCAGTACTTAATGAAAACTTTGGGTGATGTCATTTGGCATTCTGTCCTAATCCTCCTTCCTTCCCAACCACCAATTACTTATTTTTAAAAACTTTTTATCAGCAATATATTGTAGGGGAAATTTCCCAAGTGAATCATGTGTGCATATTGACGGCCAGGAAGATGACTAGGCAACCCACATTCAAACATCATTTACTTTAAAAATTATATATATTTAAAATGCTTTAGAAAAACTGAGCTAAAGCTCATTAAACTCAAGATTTAATATATATTTTGCCCAAGGTGAGTCTATATTTAGTTTAAAAAGTAATCCAATTAAAAGGAATAGTTTAAAAAGTAATCCAATTAAAAGGAATAATGTTACTGATCTTTAGTGTGTATCATAAATTCGGATCCTCCGAGGAGGGACACGCGACAGAACTGATGTGCAATAGATTTATTGGAGGAAAACACCCTGAAGGATAAGGGGGTGGGACAGGAGGAGGTAGAGAGAGGCCTCAGACCACAGTGGGGGGCTGACATGGCAGAAGGGAGACAGGGAAGGAAGGAGGAGAAGGTTGGGAAAGCCACAGACTAGGGGTGGTACTGGGCCAACGGCGAATCCCAGAGCAGAGCTTGGCCACAGGGGTCCCGTGTTGCGTAAGAACGGCCCAGTACCCTGCGTGCTCGGCCGTTGCCTGGGAGCAGGCAGCAGGGGCTTGGTCTCAGCATTCACTCCGCAGCAGATGCCCAGGGATGCGGGTCGGGGGCTGTCCTTCCAGCAGTGAAATCGGAGCAGCACACCCGTAGCAGCCACAGATGGTACATGGAATGTGGCCAAAACCTTATCAGAGCCTGGCAAATGACTCCAGTTCGAGGAATGCTTAGGGAAGGTTTAAAAGTTGGGCGTTGGACAATGAGCCTCAAAGAACTGCCTCGGTTTCCTAATTTGTAAAATATAGATAATAATAGCATCTCATCCTAGCAATGAAGAGTCGATGAAATCATCCCTGCAAAATCCCTAACACTGTACAAAAAGTGGCCAACGAATGGGCCTTCCGACCTTTGTCACTCGTCTCGTTTGTGCTGGGCGGTGTGGCCACTCTAACTGCTCACAAGGGCTGCGTCTTCATTTCTCCATGCCCTCCAGTCTGGGGAAGCTTCTAAGCCACTCAGCCTCAAATACCTCATCTGCCCTCATCGTTGGGGTCTATAAGGCATGTATTCGTTCCTCTTTGAAATTCAAGCTATTTCCATTGAGAAAAAAAACAAGAACCCTTGACGTTCTTCCCCCTAATGGACTGATATCATAGAGTTCAGTCTCGCTGTTTTTTTTCTTTTTCACTGTTATCTGGCTTTATTTCTTTAATCAATTATAAAAATAATGAAGAGAAGCGAAAACCCAAATCACTCGTAAATCTTGCTTTTCCTTCTCCCACCCAATCAGAAAGAACAACTCTCTGTGGAAGTAAAATAGGGATGATTCACTTGTGCAAGAATATTTTCAGTCTCCTTTGTGCGCAGTTGTTTTGCACCGAATGCTTTGTGCTGATGCATGGAAGAGAGAGCAGCGGCCAGATCGCTGCTCTTCTGTAGCTTACATTCTCCGGGGGGACTTACGTGCTAGTGGAAAACAAACGACCTTCGTTTTCTTTACTTTAAATTAGATAAGCTTTGGTTATAAAATCACTGTTGTAAAAATTTTGGGAAGAAAAAGAGAAATGCTAGAAAATTTTGATTTTTCCACTAACCCAAGCTCTCTTTCTTCTCCTCTTTTGACTGGGAAGCTTTGAAACAAACTGACTTTAATGTGTATACATCTACAATATGAACATCAGGAATAAAATGTCCCCCCTAATGTGCTATGCATATGAAATGATAAGTTATTGTGATTTATAGTCTTGATTGCTGAAGTTGTTCTTATTATAAAACAAAAGTAACACAAGTAACCTTTCAGAAAATTAATTTTAAATGATGGTATATTTGCCTTAAAGTGTTTAAAATCCAGGTACCTAGACCACCTACGTGTCCCTTATTGTTCTGGGTTCTTTGGGGGGTGCCCTTTGCTCTGTGGCCTCACAAAAGTTACTCAACCTGATTGAGTTTCTTTTTCTTCATCTGTTGAAGGAAAGGGTTGGAATAGATGATCTCGGAAAATTCTGGTGTGCGGCAGGTCTTGCATAGCAGACAGAATCAGAAAGATCAGACTGCATAGCCTTGGACAGATTCCAGAACCCCCTGAAGCCTCTGTTTTCTTTTGTGTAACTAGGGACCCGTTTCTCCTGCCGCGTTGTTATGCCAATCCACTACCTGTAACAGAGAGACCCTCAGACGTAGTAAGTGCTCAGCGAACAGTTTTATCATTTCTTTAGGTGTGAACTGTTGCCGGGTCGGATCTAAATATCCATGTGTGGCGTCTGGCGTCAACAGCACCCGAGGTACAAAACGAGTCTGAGACTCACTTATCCCACTATCGAAACACCTGAAGTCCGTTGGAAGGAACAGGGGAGATACACACGCCTGCACTTGCAGGTGTGTACGCATGCATGGGCGCGCACACAACTTGTAAATGATGCATCTGGACTATCTTCATAGTAGTGCCTTGCCTGCTTTCCCTCGGAGGACACACGTGATGCCGTGGGAAACAGCGGGCATGCGGAAGCCACAAGACACGCCATCCGCTCTCAGCTCTGACAGCCCCTGGCTGTTTGGTTGTGATTGGGTCACTTGAATCCTCTAAGCCTTGCGTTCCTCAGCTCTGGAAGTGGGCAGTGACAGCCACCTTTTGTGACTGCTGGGAGGATGGAGTGGAAAAATGAATGCGAAGTGACGAGCCCCGTTTCAGGACAAGGATGTTGGAATCCAGTGTTCATGTGTGGGGAGCAAGTTACACAAGGCTATGCGTGTCTGAAAAAAAGCAGCAGTCGGTGTAGGGCAAAACAGACTTAGAGAACTTTAAAAATCCTCCTGAATCATCTGTTTCAAGTACAGATTCCTATATTTGATCTCAGAATCCCTGAGAATCCTGGTTAAGAAAGTCTGTCATATGGCCGGACCATTCTGGAAGCACTTGAAAGGCGGGCTGAAATGTTTAGGCTTGAGGAAAGGTCTTAGGGCCACTGTGAAATCAGTGAATGCAGAACAGCTGTCACATGATCAAATGATGCTTCCAGAAGACCCACTAGCAACGGGATGTCTGTTGGCTTAAGTGCTACCATGTGACAGTATTTTAAAGAAACATTCTTTTTTGAATGTGCTCTTCAAAGGACGGGAACACTCTCTGTGCAAGTTGAGACTGGTGTGTTTCAGGGGCTGTGCTTGGGTCCTCATTCTCAGCAATATAGATGCCCGAAAGGGATCCTTCAGTTTCAAACTGGGTTTTCTGTTGTTATCATGAATGAGGCTGGACAGTTTGTAGACTGAGCGGGGAACAGCCAGATGGCGGGTGCACCGAAGATCAGAAGTTTCTGGTTTTGAGATTTGAATGGGAATCCTGCTGTCTGGGTGTTTCCTGATTAGCCTCACACCTGAGTAGGTTCTTCTGGCTGGATATTTAAGAATCCAATAAACACCTTTCGGTCTGCTGAGGTGGGACTTGCACTTGACAGTCCTCTCTGGTCTCCTTTGAAGTGAGCTGTGCAAGTTTCATTCTAGTCTCTGAGACTTCTTTCCCGGGCGTATTTCCGATGTGGAATCATTGATCCTCTGCCTTCTATCTGAGAGCTTATCTATCACCCAGGACCTGTCGGACTGCTCCCAGGTGCCTCTCATCCTCTGCTTGTAGACTTTCTACTAGCTGGGAAACAAAAGGAGAAAAGGCAGAAGCTGCCCGAGGCCTTCATTTGTCATTGTGGTTTGAGCGTGGAAACCACGCTGGGTGCTGGAACACATAACATGTGAGATCCAGACTTGGCTCAAAGAATGGGTTCAATGGAGATACTGTTGATGAATGGTCCAAGCTGCAAATCTCATCTAGAGAGAAAGCAAGTCTGGTTGCAGAGAGAGAAGCTCACACTATTATTAAAAGGTGTGTTTCTGACCCTTGAAATCATCACAGCAGGGGGAAAACTTGGCTCTCAGAACCATCTCCACCACTTTCTAGCTGCACCACCCTGAACAAGGGACTTTAGCTCTCTGTATCTCCATTTTTCCCTGTGTAAACAAGGATCACCATCCTTACCGCTTTTGGCCACTTTCAGTGAGAGGAGGTCTACGAAGCACCTGCATATACAATGTCTCTATGGGTATACAAGCCGTTTGCACAACGCAGGAGACGTATTTGTGAATGTTGATTCCTTTCTTCCCTCCTTCTGCATGTTTTAAAGGTAAAAACAAACACAGGACTTGGAACAGAATGAATATAAAAAAGAGCTCCTAGACTGGAATCCAAGAGATGGTCTATGGACACCCTAAAATTATTTGCAAAATATTTTGTTTGTGTTTGTTTTTCTGGGATGAGAGTCCAGATCTGTCAAGTGAGTTGAGTCTCAAAGCGGTCTATAAACGCCACCCCTCCCCCACCAGATTTAAGAACAACCGCAACGATGAGCTCCAAGGTTGAAGCTTAGCAGACTGATATGATGGTGGTGGCGTTGACCTTTGATAGCATTGGGCCAATTGCTCTCCTAATCTGAGGCAGGACTGTGAATGCCAGGATTACTGTAAGGAGGAACAGTGTTTGAAGTTGGGTGTATTGGACCCCAGCTCTCTGGGCCTCCAGAGGAGGGTTTTTACCAGATTGATCTTGGCCATGATGACATTGACCCATATGGACGGCCGATGTAGGAAGCAGCTTCTGATGCAGGCCACTGCGCTGTGGTTGGGATAAGGCTAAAGACCCAGCTCCTGACCTGGGTGCCTCTTTGCCCTATGAGTACCACAGATGGACTTCTCTGGACTTTCTGCCAGAATTTTCCTGAGCAGCTCATTCGCTTTTACCTACCAGTGACGGTGGCCTGCGTGATCAATCCTTTTCCCTCTTTTCCTCAGCAACTAGAGAATGTTAGGGCAAACACTTCGCTGACCCACAGCCCAGACTGTGGTTTGTGTTTTCTGTAGCAACCCCTTCTCCTCACTCCATTCGTGTCCTGGGCTGCATCTGGGTGTTTATTTTCCCTTCGTTGCATGTTAAAAAATACAGAACTTTTTATACTATCTTGCTGTACTGTTTACTTTCCCATAAGCCTCCTTCAAGTTCGTTTTGGAACCAGGTATGTGTAAGAAATTCCATGTTCAAGAATGGCACCGGAGACCTGCGAGCCCAACTAACTCTCCTTTTTTGGGGGTAACATCCTGACTCTTACTTTTGTTTTTATCTCCCCTTTAGTCAGTTAAAGAGGACTCAGTCCCCGCAGGTGCAGAGGAGAATGTAAGTGATGCGTTAAATGGCAGAACCATTCCGTGCTCATCTTCTGCATGCTGGACCACGCATGGGGCATTCCAGCTCCGGGGCCCGTGTTCTTGCATGTGCCAATGTCTCCCGTCTGCCGTAGACTCTTTCATCCCTTCACGTGATCGGGGGCCAATGGGGAATGATGCTGGGTGAAGATTTGTAACACCTCTTGAATCCATGCAAACTAAAGACAAAATCAGAGCAAGAGTCTTTACCATTTGTTCTCATTTAAAGGCTGAAAGAGTCTACCAAACATAAGAACACACTCACACATCCTTAAGGGGCAATGATGCTGCACGCTGGGCTCCTCCATCTCGACTACTCGTTCACCTCTATTTCCATGGCAACCCAGATTCTCTACTAACTGTGGGTGGCACCCAGGGCAGGTTATGGCGTCAAGCACGAGAGCATCTTGCCGAGCTCCGTGTTGAGACTGTCGGTCTTGGGCAGGAGAGCTGCCTTCTTGGATCTACACCTGACAGACGTAGGTTGAGCCTCACTGTCCAAACTTTCAAGACCGTGTGTTCACATCGGGAGGGGATGGCTTGGTAGAGGCATGTCAAAAATAGTTTTCCAACACATTTTGCAGGGAGATAAATCAGTTGTCCTCCTGAGTCAGCAGTTCTGGTTCTGAAAGAAGTGTAGTCTTTTTGGAAAATTTTGTGAGCGGGGACAAGTGAGTTCACAGCTCCTTAAGAAAGAAAATGATCATGATCATTTTGCCAAAGTAAAATATGTTTGGCTCTTTCTAGGTGTCTCTTGTTTGCTAGCCTTGGACAGGGCTTGTGTTTTCATTTTTATTTAATTGCTGGCCTTGAACCGATGTTGAGTATCCAAGTACATTCCAGAAGTGTTGCCTGTGATATGGAATGAAAATCAGAATGGCTATGTTATAATTCTTGTTAGGAGAAAGATCTTCCAGATCTGCTTTTTTGTTGTTGTAAGTGTTTTCTTTCCCTCCCCCCTCCCTGCCCCCTCACCCACCCTCCCACTCACCCACCTGCCTTTCCTTCTTCCTTCCTTTCTCTCCTTCCTCTCTTTCCTCGCCTTCCTCTCCTTCTCTCCTTCTTGCCTTCCTTCCTTCCCCCTTCCCCTCTCTTTTGACTCAAACTCAATAGCTCAGCGAAGCTCAGGTCTTTCATAATTCCCGAAAATTCTCATGAATTTACCGGCTCTTTTCTACAGAGTCAAAGCCTATTTCAGCAACCAGTAAGCAGCAACTCTGAGTCTTTTTCCTGTGAACTTCAAATTTAAAAGCTTCTAGTGAAGTCTGAAGCATCAGGTAGCTTGGAGGTTCTGGGTTTTCTGAAGAGAAACTTGTTCTTGGATGTTTGTGGGCAGTTGCCTGTCTGAGGAACACCTCGCAGCTCGCACGCTAGCATGCAGAGGTCACCTTTGACAGACAAAGAGCAAGTATCTCCTTTTCTAATGTGACGTTCAGAACAGAAACATAAATGTGAACCAGAGTTATAATTACTGATGCCAAAAGAGAACAAAAAGCTGATAAAGATACCAAAGAAAGCAGAGTATTTTCTCAAGTATTTCTCAAAGTATTTTCTCAATAAAGAAGCGTTCTCAAGATGGCTTTAAAGTACTTAGCCCTATAAGTAACCTTTCTGTTTGGAAGCTCCAACATTTCATTGTCTAGGAGCCTGTTTGTTGGAGGGCATGAGGCTAAAAGTACTGATTCTGGGCCCATCATCCCCAGGCTGTGCCACTTCTGGGACCTCAGTTTACTCCTCTCTTAAATGGCCACAATAATATTACCTACCCCTTAGGGTTCTCGTGAGAATTAAATGAACAAGGCATGTAACGTGTATACTTCAGTGCCTGAAACATGAAGAATTCATTCAGGGCACAGCACACGGCAGCTCACATGCCAATTCCAGCCCATTGTCCGTGTCCCCATGGCCCATGAGCTAAAAATGGTTTTTACATTTTGAATGATGAAAAAAATTTAAAGAAGAATGATATTGCAGGGCATATGAAAATTACACAGATTTGGGACACCTGGGGTGGCTCAGCTAAGTGTCCTGACTCTTAATGTCAACTGAGGTCATGGTCTCAGGTTAGTGAGACGGAGCCCCACATCGGGCTCGATGCAGGGCGTGGAGTCTGCTTAGGATTCTCTCTCCCTCACCCTCAACCCCTCCCCACCCCTTCCATGCTCATGCACTCTCACTCTTTCAAAATAAATAAATAAGTCAGTAAATAAATAAATAAAATAAGAATATCTGTTTTAAAAAAACCACACAAATGTTACATTTCAGTGTTTATGAATAAAGTTTTATTAGAACACAGCCATACTCATTCATTTGCATATCACCTATGGCTGCTTTTCTGCCTCAGTGGCAGAGTAGAGTAGTGGGGACAGGGCCCTTGGCAGGAAGTCTGCCGTCCCTGTGGTCTCTGTTAAGGCACAGGAGTTGTAACAAGATGATTAAGTGCTTCCCAGAGATCAGTGATTTTATACACACACACACACACACATATTTATAATTATATATTATATATATAATATTGTGAAATTACACATCTGTCAGCTGACTCAGTGCCCACATGGAGTCAAGGCATGTGTCAAATAATTAGCTTAATTTCCTCCTCCTCCCAAATAAGAGAGATGGCATTAATTAATAAAACAATGCATAGTACTCTAAACCTCCAAGCAGGACCATTAGGTGTTAGTAATCATATTATAAGAGTCCTTTAACTAGCTCCTCTGGCTAAAATATGGTTGGGTTTCTTTATTTTTTAATTTCTCTACCATCAGTTTCTATAACCTATCTATCATCCAATGCAAAGCAAAAGACAGAGTGACTTCCACATTTCTCAAAGTTTTTCATGAAGAGAAAAGCAAGGCTTTGGAGACCCACAGAAGTTTAGTGCTTTTTCTAGCATGTGCTTCTGGTGCTATCAGAAATAAGACCTACTACAACAACTACTGAATCATTCTGCTGAAATTTTGGCCATTGCTTAAGTTAATGTTCTAACGCATGGAGTGAAAAATCTTTCCTTACCAATGACCTACACGTTGAAGGAAAAGGTACTTCTGTTCTTTACCTGAGTAAGTAACCTCACAGTTGCCAGTGAAAGGAAACTCAGCCCAACCTAGATTTAATTTATTGGCACTCCTCACTGGGAAGTAGCATTGCTTTCAAATCAGTCTTGATGTAGGACTTCCTTGTGACTCAGCCTTCCTGGCCTGGTTACATTTCTTCTCACACCCCACCACACAGTCCAGAGTCAGGGAGAGACTGGGCCAGTGGAAACTCTGCCGGCGTGGAGTCAGTTCTCTTTCCCAGACTTACATGGGTTCCCAGGCTCTACGAGTCATCTCTTATCGGGCTGTGTTGTGGTAACATCCAGGTCCCATGCTGCATTGGCTTTCAACAGCAAAGATCCTTCTTTTCCTCACTCATGCTACATGGCAGCCATAGGCTGGTTCTGGTTGATCCAAGTGGCTCCTTCCTGCTGAGATCTAGACTGAGAAAAACACCCCCTTCAACAAGGACATGCAATTGTTGTGACAAGAGAGAGGAGAGGGCTGGGGTGAACCATGAGATGGCTCGGAGAGCTTCCGCTCAGTCCCGCTTTACGGCGTGTCTGCTCATGTTACATTCACCAAACCAAGTCACCCAGCAGTGGGCCCAGATGTATGATCCCTTTATAGGAAGCCAGAGTGAAAAATTGGGAAAGTAATACATTCTGCAGCAAACTCCCATCCCCAAACTCCATATGGCCAAGGAGCTTGACCACGTGGATTCGCTTAGATCTGCTCAAGCAAATTTTTCCTGTCACGTGGGCTTAAGGTTAAAGAGGGTTGTTCTCCCAACACACAACTGGGGGTCCATAAAGAGAATGAGGGAGAATAGTGACTAGATTGAAAAATAAAATCTTTCCCAGGTCTTTGTAATCAAATAATCATGTTCTAAATCAAATCAGACAGCGTCTTTAAAAGATTCCAAAGTGAAAACTGTTAATATCAATATTGTGTGTTATGGGGGCAGTGTAGGTGGAGGACATCTATTTTGCTATAAATCGATTTTCAGAACTCACAGTTCCAGTGAAAACTGTATAATCCAAATTCCAAGAGTAAATATGGTACAATATTTGAGGCAAAAGAAAGTGAAAACTTTTGCTCTAATGTATTGTCTGTGTTAAACATACTAGCCATCTTCACTCAATGTATAATATCCCCTCCTGAAATCAAGCCAGGGGGATTTGATTCTAAAGGATAGCACAAATCTGATTTTCGTTATATCCATCATACCCAAAATTAAAATGTGCAGATATAGTTCTATATTCTAAATAGGAAGTGACTTTTTCCAAAAGCCTAGCCTGGAAGGATGTCAGAAAACTATCCAAATAAAAATCAAATTCTATGTCTGTATATACAAATCAGCTCCTAACTCAGCTCAAATACTTCTGGATTTCCACACTGGAAATCAGTGGATTTTCCTTGGCTGCTGAAAGCTAATTTCTTGGCCTGACTTCAAAGTTAATGGGTGTCTCTAGAAGTCCCCCCAACACCAGGCTTTTTTTTTTTTTTTTTTTTTTTTTTTTTTTTCCTACTGAAATAGTTGTGTTTTGAAGAATGGACTCTGGCTAGGATTTATGAGTTGACACCACTCAGATTTTTAAAGGACCAGCAAGAAAACCATTGACAATCAAAAAATTGATTGATGAAGTTACTGCCACACAGTCTGATCATTTTATTATGTAATTTTCCCTCCAGGCTCTTGCATATAAAAAAAGACAGAAAAAAGCTCTTGCTGCTTCAAAGACAGAATAATTCTGAACCTAGATTCAATGAGTCAGACTCTGGCCATTTACCTACCTAAGGGCTATTTTCTGTTTCTCCACCCTTCTCCCCTTGATCTTAGGCAAGGTTGGCAACTACCACACCCCCCAAAGTATCTGACCATGATTAGTCTAAAGTAAATATCCCATTTTTTTCAACAATAATTGGGGAGTAAGGATGTGACCACTTCTGGCCTGTGAGATGTATGCTGAGGTAGGAAATCAAAATACAGAATTTCATTTGAAACAAACTTTTTGCTATGGCCAACCTCCCTTTTTTAAGACATTAGGTTGAGGATGTGATGCCTGGAACCATGGCAGCTATTTTATATCCATGAGGTAACAAATAAAAGGATGAAAGCCCATCATTCCCAGAGCCAAAGGATAGAAGGAGCCCGGGTTCTTAAGGACATTGTGGAGCCATTGAACCAATCCTAAAACTTCCTACTCGCAAACTTGTTGTTCTGTATCATTACTAGTAAAGTCACTATTAAGTATTCAGTTACTGGTACACAACTCCATCCTCCCTGAAATGGCTACTTACCTGTGCTATGACTTTGGCCAAGTCATTCACTCATTCAGATTTTTTGTCTCTAGAATAGGGATAATGTTAATTACTCTGAACTCTTTAATAATTCAGTAACTATTCCCTGAGATAACATATTAAAAATACCTTGCATGAGGTCAGACATAGCAAGAGGTAGTTATTAATAGAATCTCTAAAAAGTGGGCATGCTCATGTCAGGTGATTCCTCATAATTCAGGCCCATGGGAAAAAACAGCTCTCATAATAGCACAATTAACAACACTGGTATTAACTGAGTCATTGTTATGGGTCAGACACTGTTCTAAGAACTTTATGTGCACTGCCTGATTTAATTCTGCAAACAACCTTCTGATATGTACACTGTCTGGATCGAGAATTGAGAACACCCACGTACAGAGATGTTGAGTAGAGACCTTGGTCTAGAGCCTCCGTAAGGGCTGGAGTGGAGACACAGGGCCAGGCAGGCTAGAGCTGCAGGCTGCTCTCATGAACTCTATGTCAGATTTGCCTGCATTTCAGGCTGACCCCTGGATTCTGGGGGCAGAAACCTTTTTTCAGAAATGCAACTGAACTGAATCAGGCCCACATGTGGGAATCCATGATCGTGTATGACCACCAGTCCCCAGTATGTCACCTGGCTTCAGTCTCAGCCTGGTTTCCCAAGATGGGCTGGGTCAGAGCCTGGCAGCCCACAGCAGGAGAAGCCCTCCCACAAACACCTGCGGTCCAGTGTTTTTCTTCTTTAGATGGGACAACTCCACTTGTCCACTATAGCCGCTACCACTCCTTTGGGTCTTCTGGTCAGTCTCTGCTGATCTTACATGCCTTCTTCGCCGCCTTTGGACTTTTGAGTGAATGACTCCCCAGCCTAGGTCTTTATCGTCAAAGGGAAGATGCTAGAAGTCCTGTCAATAGGTTATAAAATGGAAGGTGGGGAGAGACGGCTGTGATTTAGTTGCCATATTTTGATGTGATCCCTTACATTGATTTGTTAATGGGCACCTTCCTGCTTTGCTTGACAATACAGAAATCAAGGGTCCTTCTCGATTTTGATCACTGGGATCATGTGCAAGCCAATGGCATATTCTGCATGAAGGAAAGGAAAATAATTTCTCCACAGGCCTACAGGTGTTTCTGGAAATACCTAAGCTCCCTTCCCCCACTCCCTGTTGGCAAGAACGAGATGCAGAGGAAGCTGGGGGGTCTGGCACCAGCAAAGACAAATGCAAAGATGCCTTTGGCTCTAGAGTGCCTTCATCTGAGGCAGAGGATGACAAACGTATCATCCAAAGAGCTGGGTAGTAAATGTTTCAGACTTAACAGGCCACACGTTGTCTCCGTTGCCTGTCTTTCATCTTTTAAAAACATTTTGCAGCCCTTTAAAAAAAATGTAAAATCCATTCTTTGCTCGGGGTTGTGCTAAAACAGAGTCTGGGACAGATTTGGTTGTCGTTTGCCAGCCCTTGTCTGAGGAAACAAATTTTGGAGCCTTCTCCAGGCCAATTAAATCTGTTGCAGAAATCAGTGCAAAGCAGGAACCAGTCCAGATGTGACTGGGGCACAGCACAAATGGAGGGAGGCAATGCAAAAGAACAGAATTTGAAATCAGAGTGCAGGTGAACTGGACCCTTCCATCCAAACCCCCCATTACTGGCCATCCCTTCTCCCTGACAGACCTTTAGCGGGTTCTAAGCTCACCAGGTATGTTGCTGGGGGCCGTCAGGAACTTCGCCATGGTTTTCTTGCCAAGTGCCGTTTTCCTCTGAACTTCAATTAAGAAACAAAGGCAAAACACTGGCCCTGGGGTGGGGTGGGAAGTAAGTCAAGGAGGAGGTCCCGTCTGTGAAATTCAGCGTGGACTTCACACTATCTTTTCCACAAAGAGGACAGGTCTTCCCAGTTGTGGGGGATCTTAGGGCATGCAGCAGAAGGTGTCGTTGTCACCGACTCTAAGGCTGGACCTTTAAGGAAATAACGACTCCTGATTTTTATACAGGCCTGGGGTAAGTCGCCTTGATGGCAGGCCAAAGAGGCGGGGCTCCTGGAACGGAAATGGGAGGAGCCTGCTGTCCCCTGGAAGGACTTCCTATTTCAGCCTTGTACCTTGTGGAGCACGGTTTTTGCTACTTCCAAGTCAGCATATTTGGCATTTTTTTTTAGAAATTGGCTGTTTGAAAGCACACTTTGCATCCTTCTCAAAGATGTGCCTGTGTAGAAATGATCATTGGGTCACACCTGTAGCACATGGACACGGGGGCCACCAGGACTCCCCCTACTTTATAAAGCCTGTTTTGGGGAACGTGTGTGTTTTTCTTTTCACTGTCTTATTACCTGGCAAAATAATCCAGGTGGTGTGTGAATCACCAGTAGAGGTTGTAAAGTCGGAGGAAGTAGACTCAACCTTACAAACGGTGGATCTCAACGAAGGAGGAGATGCCACCCCCGAACCCACAGAAGTAAGACTCAAAAGAGAAGAATGCAAACCACCAAGAACCCTCCTGATGACGTTTCTCAGACAAATGGTAAGCCCTCTGCTCCCAGCAGGGAAAGCTGGAATCCCCAGATCAGCTTCTGAGAGTGAAGGACCTGTGTCAGGTGGGGTGAGATGTAACTGTAGGGGGTAGAGGGATGCATGGGTCATCAGTCCTGTGCAGGGAGATTATTCCCTTTCCTCCTCCTGACTCGTTCACAGTGCAAGTCTCAATTTATTGCTAATGCTCCTTAATCTTTCCTTAACTCCTGCTAACTCCCTTTTTAACAAGGAAAGAGCTGATCTTAGGTCCTGAGCTGTGGCACACAGCAGCATCCACGCAGAAGTTAATATTGCTCGCTTTCAATTTAATTTATTTTTAAAGTTTCCTTCTGTGTATGGCAAATGATATTGTTTTTCTCATTATGGTAATGACATGCAGTTTCCTTTGAGAATACATTTATTTACATAAAGAACATAAGGCATTGTTTAAAGGACTAGGTAAGAAATAGGCCAAGTTATATATATTGATGTTGGAAAAATTCTGGAAGTGATGTGTGAGTGACACAAACTTGGACAAAGCCAATCTAAAAATAATTCCAATTATAAAGTGACAACATAATTTTCTAATTGTGTATAAGTCAGTTGGTGAATTTGCCATGCTTTTAGCTTGCATAAAATGTAAAGAATGTGGGCAGATGTTTTTTGGTGTCTCTGAAGTGTCATGTACATTAAATAACAAAGCATCCAAGAACTTAAATAATATAATGCAACAAAACCCAACGTGGTTGGAAGACAAAAAGCAAAAGCCCATGCAAAAGGTCATCGGTTTAATTCTCTTTTAATGAAAAACAAGAATTTCATTATAGTGCACCATTATTTTCAGGAGTATTTGGGAATTTAATCCTTTGAGAAAGCAGCCCTCTGGTTTCACAGGCTCTGCCCGGTAAGGAATTCTTTCTAGTCCACCACACAACATAACATAAAACCCTTGCCAGTGGGAGCTGAGGCATATAAGAAATGACTCTCTTAGACACTGTCAACAGGAATCATTTTCTTTTGTCATTGGACTCTCGGGGAGTAGAAAGTGTAGAGTCAGTAGTGAGCAGCCTGCATGGCTGGGGCCCCATCTATGTTCCTGGTCCTTAACTCTGCCATTTGGCACCGAAAATGGGGATCAAGATCTGAGATTTTTCAACCAATTTTTACACAATGTCAGGAAAGAAAAGAACATTTGGCCTCTTTCTGGCAACCCAACTACATTACAAATGGCATCCCCAAATAACTCATCATGACAGTGAGAGTGATCCAACTTCCCCATTTCTGGCTGGAGCTGAGAGTACCACCCCCCTCCCCAGCAACCTAGCAAATAGTACGACTTTCTCTTCCAAATAACCAACCTGAGACTTCTTCACTTAAAGACAAGAGAATGCAAGAGCCTCCAAATAAAGCACGAACGAAGTCTAAACGACCCACTGCATCCTTTCAATTCAAATCCTTGAATTCTAATGAGGTCCCAGATTACTTCAGTTCACCTCCAGAGCTATCCTTTAGAGGCTTCTGGGGGATATTTTCTAGCAATAGAAACAGGTTCCTCTGAACAGTTAGGGGAATGAGTTGGAAACAAAAGAGTCCTTTATAATTGAATCTCCATGGGATAGGGATGGAGGTGCAAGGGGACACATCTTTCTGAAGCAATCCTCAGTGCATTCGTAGCATCAGGTCTACAATGGCCATCATTCTAATTATGTACCATCCATAGAAAGGGTTGCGCCTGGGAGCTTGACCATGATTGCCCTCTATTAATGTTCAAACTCTAAAGCTCCCATGATGTAGAGGATTTTCCCTAAAAATTCCAGATACCGTCGTGATTCTTGTCTTGCAGTCTGTTTTGTTTTCATTATAACAATATATTACCATTGTGAATAGTTCAAATACACAGAAAACGTGGGTCTTCCATTTCATCACTGATCCCACGACTCCATGTTGTCACACCCAGCTCACTTGTTTATGTCACTGGCCCTATGCCTGTGGGCATTTGGTGGTGGTGTATCCCTGATACGGCCCACCCCATTCTTTTTAACAACCATGGAATCACATCCTCTGGATTTATCATACTGGGATTGATGGAAACTGGATTTGTTTCCAACCCGTTGCACTTCATTTGGTCGTTTTTTCAACAAATGATTACTGAATACCCGTTGTATTCCATACATTGGGATATAACAATAAGTAGATGTGGCCCTGTCTTCACAGAAAATAAAACTCAATGAGGAAAACATGTTTACTTTTAACTCTAGGCCATATGCAGTGAGCACACACCATGGGTCCCAAGCGCAGGATCTCAGGTCCTTCACTCGCGAACCTGACGAACATTCTTGCACACCTGCCTTTGCGCACACGTGCTACCATTCCCCAGTGTGCGATCCTGGAGTCGGCTGCAACCTTTGTCTTCAGGAAACACTTCGAGTCACATACCATGACTTCCAAAAGAATTTAAAGTCTGGATTTATGCGGGAGAAGATCAAACCAAACCAAATCCTCCTCTCAGAGCTTGAAACTTGAGACAACATCCAACTCATCACTGAGCTTTTCCTTTTTTATTTTTTGAGCCAAATAAGTGGACGTTCCAAATTGATTTTAGATATTGTTAGCAAAATATAGTTCTTTTCAAAATAATCAACTTAATAGAAGAGGAAACTCAACTGCAAATGCATTAACCTTGTTTTGGGATCAATGTCTCCATTCATCATCATTGATTTCCTTCCTCTTCACCTTGGTCTCTCTTAAATTTCTCTCCGAAAACATATTTTGCTGTCCCATGGCAATATGACTCACAGTTGCATATTTTAAAAAAATAATAAATGCATTGCCCAATTTATTTCCAAAGAGATCTTTTTCTTTCCAGAAATTAACCTCTCATAAAAAATAGAAGTGGAAAGATTGTCATTTTGCAAATAATCTCCTTTCAGGAAAAATAAGTGTATTTCAGGAAAAAAATAGAGTCCCCACATCCTCATATGGCATCGGACACACATAGATCTACCACTTCACAAAAATGCTATGGGCTTCTATAGATCTTCAAAATAATTGCTAAGGCATCTGTCATGCCCTAAATAGAAAAAGATTCTTATATGTATTAATTCAAGTGTATGTCAAGAAATTGGATATTTGAAGTGCTAGTGTATTTTTATCAAGTGAGTAGGTGGAGAACTCTATTCATGTGCCCACAAACCAGGTAGGCAGATGAAACCGTACGGTGGTAGATAGAAATACAGATATAGGTTTATAATTTGTCAATATTAATAACACCCTGTACTTAAAAAGTGCTTTCCTCCTCCGAACCATTGTTGCCTACTGTTTCATTTAATCCTCCTCCTGTCTCTTTCCTTAGACCATTCATTTTGTAAGAAGCTTTTTGTTGGAATAATGTTCTCAGGCACAGAAAAGGACTGTGAGCTTTAATATTGGGCAAATATAAGATCCAAATGAGGATGGAGCCAGGAAATCAGAGTCTTCCGTTGCTTACCTTCAATCTATAAATCTAATAAAACCGATTGATATGTGCCATCTGGAGGAAAAAGGAGGATGGTTTATTATGGTGATCGTAAAAGAAAAAAACAAGAACAGGGATCTTCTAGCTCAAGTTCTCCATCTCCTGTTCTGCCCCGAGTCCTGACTATGAACGCAGAGTTGCTCTTCAGAAGGTTTCTGAAAATCACATTTCTTTGAGCAATTCCGGTCTCCAGAGCAATTTGCTTTCCTTTCTACCCTGGCAGGGGATTCTGTGGTCACTTGGCACTCTCAGTTAATAATTACAGTAATGATGATAATAGCTAGTGTTTATGTATCACGTGCCAGTGGCCTGGCCAGCACCGTGCTAGCCTAGTGCATGCCTTAGCTCATTTATTAGCCTAAAAACCCCAACAACACATCCCTGCCCCCACCGTGCAGAGAGGGCATGAAGACTCAGGGTACTGAAGTGACCCGCTCAGGGTCACAGAGCTGGTAAATGGCAGCACCATCACTCAGACTCCGGTGCGTTTTGCTGTTAAAGCTCACGCCTGTACTTAGACGTGACTGTGCCTTTCTGGGCTCCCAGCAGCTGGTTTTCCTTGAGGGTACGTGGAGGTAGAACAGCCCAAACTCCATTTTTGTGATTCTCCTGGTAGTGTTTCCGGTGCTCAGCTGAAGTCCCTGAAATTACAACGAGGCAAGAGAGAGGAGAATTAATACATGACTTACGTAAAGCTGGGAGGGATGTTTTCTGAATTTACTTGTCACTAAAATGAGATTTGCCTTGATTGTGTCGTTTTGTCTGACGGTCCAGTTCTGTTTCAGTTGGGCATCTTGGTAAAACACAAAGGTTGGACCCATAGCCTTGGTTGATTCTGGAAATTTCTAGCAGGTCCATTTCCTTGGATTTGTGTAACAGTGAGGCTGACCTAGTAAACAACCCTGCACTTTCTTTTTCTAAATGTTCTCAAGCAAGGCTGGCCCATGTAGAACAACGCAGAAGACCCAGAGGAAGAAAGAAAGATAATTGAAAGTATCTTCCCAATTCTTCTTTTAAATCGCAACTTCGGTTGGATTAGATCTCCGCCAAAAATACCCTGCAGTCCTTTCAAAGGAATGCGAATGCCCACCCAACATTTCCACCAGAACTTTGAATATCTAAGTGATACACGTTGGAGAGGGTTCAAATGCTCCTCAGAGTATCAAGCTATCGGAATACGTGACACAATAAAAGAAATAAAAATGGCTTTAGAAACACGCAAAGCTTAGATGTCACAACCGGATTCCAACCCAGCACTGCCGGCTGGATGCCCTGAGATGCTTCACCTTTTGCTCTCCTGAATAAAAATAAGCCCTTGGAAGTAAGTTGCTCAGTATTGAACTAGAAAACCTCTGAAATTCCTTCCTTGTAGCCTTCAGATTATTCTTTAGGGTATTAGGTAGTCCCTGAAAAAAAAAAATCTGGGTTTCTTTAAACAGGAACTTGATTTTTGACAGCTGGAGAAAATGAGCTTCTGTGGTTTTGGTCCTTTGAATACAAAGCCCAACATGAACTATTTGACTTGGTTTCTGAAAGAGGACTCCGCAAAGACGCAAAGACGAGAGAGTGATCGAAAGAAAACAAAGAGAGGAAGGGAGGGAGGGACTTTATAAGAGCCTTAGTCTAAACTCAGCTCGCAGTTATCTTTGCACACATACAGCTTTTTGTACCTCAAAATGAGTAACAGAGGAAAATCCTAGAAAAGCTTGAGATAGTCTCTTTTTTAAAGAAGAAGTTGAACTTCTTTGCATTGATCTCCCTGGTAGCCGGAGGGGCTGTTTTCAGGAAACTAACCTAGATCACCACTGCCAAGAAAGCCTCTGATTCAATCCAAATTCTTCTCCAAGGGCTCGAAAAGACAGGGAGGGGAAGAAAACAGACTGCAACCTTAAACGGGCAGAGGACCTAACGGATATCAAATTGAAACCACTAAAGGGAAGTTAAAAATCTCTCTCTCTCTGGGACAGGAAGGTGGCCCCAGGGGCCATGCATGCCCCTTGATCTCCATTCAGGTTTAGCTTAAAAAACCATTTTGTATGTTTGTTTGGCTGGTTTTGCCCCTCAGCACTACCCAGAGGCCAGCTAGTGAGGAGGAGACGATAAACAATGACCAAATACGTGGGAATTAAACCCGAGGCAACATTGTTGCTAAGAACTGGACAATTAATTGCCAAATTTCTCAGGTACTTTATCAAGCATCGGGCACAGAGCATTACTGAATTGACAGTTGAGACAGCAGACCCCAATATTGGTCTGCCTTTGTCTATGCCGATTAGCTTTAAAAAGTGATGCTTCAACTCAAGTGTGCTTCAGAATCACCTGGAGGGCTTGTTGCTCAGCCTCGCTCCCCAGCCGCCCCTGGGAGTTTCTGATTCAGTGGATCTGGCGTGGTTCTCAAGAAATGGTATTTCTAACAAACTCCCAAGTGATGCTGAGGCTATGGCCCTGGGATCACAATTTAAGAACCCTTTGCTGAGCGTATGCTTTCAGGAGCCAAAGCTGTGATTTCAACCCTTCCAGCCCTATCACTGATGCCATGGGCCACAGCAGTCACTAAAAAGAAAAATATGGGATATTCAACAAACCCCACCTCTCTGTGAGGAGAAAAAAAAATACAAGGAAACATCCACCACCTTAAATGTTACCAATGGAAGTCTACCAATGGTTTAACTATTCATGCATTCAACACATCCCACCACCTCCTGGTTCCAACATTGGCATTTTGGTCACCATTTCTTTATCCCAGGATTACCTAATCCCAGGGTTTAAGAGTTCCATTGTTGCTGTTATTTGGGGAAGCCAACACTTGACTATAATCGGACTCTGGTTACAAACCACATGGAAATTGTGTATCTCGTGAGTAATATGTTTCTAGCTGGTCTTCCATTTGTCTCGACCCTGAATCTCAATCATGAATGACTGAGGTCATCCATTTCAGAATTCCCTGTGCGTTCTCCATGTTGCTGTGCTCATGGTAGCTGAAAGGCCATTGTCTGTTTGTTATTTTAGTCAGTGAAAGGGGATGGAGGGATCACCCACTCAGAAGAAGTAAATGGGAAGGACTCCAGCTATCAAGTAAGTGACCTGTGAGATCTGTTCGGTGGTGGGTTGAGCTTGCATGTTCTCACTTCTTTCCAGCTTAGTTGCCAGTGCAATTCTCAGCCACAGACAATCATTTACCATCTCTGGGTTAAGCACCTGCTGTATGCTAGGCACTATCTTGGACTCTGCAGATATATGCATGAACAAGCTTGAGTTTCTTGGCTTTTTCATATTTAACAAATGTTTTTCCCTCTTCTCCACCTGGCAAATCCCTTCCTATCCTTCAGGTCTTGGGCTAAATGTCACCTCCTCCAACAGATGTTCTACTTCTGTCCATCATCAGTGCATCTTGTTCTTTTACTTTGTGGAATTGATCATACATTGTAACAAGTCATTTGTCTATTAATTATGCTTCCTTTACCCCATTCCTTTCCGTGTCTGGGGCATCTGTGGAGCAAGGGAGGAGGCTCTTTGATTTTTCTATCACATTGCATAGTGCCTGGCATACAGTTGGAGCTCTTTCTTGAAAAAAAAAAAAAAAAAAGGAGGGGGGTGAAAGATATGGGATCCCATGGGTTTTTTTTCCATTATTTTCTCCATTCTAAAGAAACCCAGCTATGACATTGTTATAACGACACAAATCTTTTTTTTAATGGGATCATCTCATGCCCAACACCCTATTTTATAACCTGCGTGCTTTCTTAACTTAGAAATATAGCTTCACAAAAGTGTCCTCAAATATTCTTCTACTGATGTTTGCGATACAGAGAACTGGTTAAGAACATGAGTTGCAGGCTCAGACCACCCGTATTCGAACCCTGGCTCCACTCCTTTTTATCTGTGTGATTAAAAGCAGCTGACCAAATCTCTCTATGCCTCAGTTTCCTCATCTCTACAATGGAGCTAGGAAAAGTACTGCTTCGTGGCATTGTCCTACTTTATATGTCAACACATGTAAAGCCCCCTGGAACAGTCCTGTACCGCAGACCCTAGTACCGCAGTAAATGTTAGTTGCTATGGAAGCCACACGGGCCGCCGTACAAACGACCACAGACTCAATGGTTTAACAACAGAAATTTATTTTCTCACAGTTTTCTAAGGATGCTAGCGTGGTTCCTGGCAAGGAGAGCTCTCTTCCTGGTTTTCCTACAGCTGCTTTCTGTTATGTCTTCCCATGGCGGCTCTTATAAGGACACTAATCCTATTGGATGAGGATCCCAACCTATGACCTCAATTTACCGTAATTACTTTCTTACTCCAAATACTTTCACACTACGGTTTGGGGCTTCCACATAGGAAGCCATAGAGGTGGCTATTAGTTTGTTACTATTACTGTTATGCTACTGATAGGAAATTACCACACTAGTGTATTGTTCATAGCACACAAATGGACAGCAATGATTATAAATAATTTATTATATTTCTATTTCTATAATAATTGAATTAGACCATATATTTCAACAGGGAATATGTTGCTTTTTGCTACATTCAAATTATTTTTGTTTTTCTTTTTCAACTTCTGACTATGCTCACCCCCCAACCCATTCTCTCGACCACTTCTGAACCCAAAATCCTGAAGTTCACTACCTTGGAAATAAGATAAATTTACTTTATTCAGTACGAAACATCTAAATATCATTGTACATTTTGTCTGGGATCTGAATGTGAAACAGGGATGCCAGTCACCTTAGCGATTCTGAAATGGAAGTGAAGTCAGTGAAAATCTGATTGAGCTAGAAATTTCATTCCATTTACACTTACCGAGGAGTGTTCTGAGAATCCATTAGAGAGCCCTGGATCCAGACTTGAGATGGGTGTGTAATCTTGGAGATACGATAAATGTTTATTTTCATTTTGGGGGTGGGAAGAGACAGTCTCTGTTCCTTTCTAATTCGCCCTCTCAGGGTTATAAAAATCTTGGTTGATGATTCCAGGAGAAGCAGCCTCGGGCACCCCCTGGTCTAAGGTATGCTTCCAAGGTCTGAATCAAACAGGATGTTCCCATGACCTTGTCCTCCAGCTTTCTGCCAGCATCACTGGGTTCTAGGGGAGGATACACTCAGATGATTTGGATGAGAATAATTTTTGTTATAAATTCTGAGACAGAGTCAAATCTTAAGCAAATATTTTTAAATCATCTACATTTCATGATAAAGCAATCATCACACAGTTTTAGATTCTTAGCTTACTCTGAATATAAGGAACCAGCCATCTGTTATTCTCAGAAGTTAGTTTCTAAGCCATTAAGAAGAACATTTAAGCCTAATAGCATGGCGTAACCCTGTGGTAAATGGAGCTGATCCATTGAAAGCTCTCCTCCTGGGGAAAAAAAAAAAAAATCAATGTCCTGTGAAAGCTATTGATGTGTGGGCCCTTCTCCCTCCCCACCTCACAGTGATTTGCTGAGGAAAATAGTGTAGAAACATCTGGAAGGCGAGTTGCTGGCCATTCATTCAGCCCATTTAGGTGGAGACTTACTATGTGTCAGATGAGGTGCTGGGAATGAAGCCACGGAAGACAGAAGAGTTTTGTTCTCCGGAGCTCCCCCTCCAGCAGAGGGAGGCGGGCGGAACACTCTCAAGTGAGCCAAGAAATCCCCAAGATTAAGGCAAACATAAAGAAAACACAGCGGTGTTTTGTCAGAGAGGAGTCGGGCTTCTTTAGACCGTCTAACCAGGGACTGAGTCTCCAAGGAGGCAACATCGGAGCTGAGACTTGAAAGAAAAAAGCAGCAATCCTGTCAAACCCTGTGAGCACACTGAGAAGTTAACAGTGAATGTGAAGCCCCTTTTTTTGAGAATAAGCTTGTTCGTGGAAGAAGGGGAGGCCATGTGTCTAGAGCAGAAGGAACAGAGTGGAAAGGGATAAAAGATAAGGTTGGAGAGGAACAGGGACACTCGATTTAACAAGTATTACCTGAGCCCTTCGTCTGTACCTGGCTCTCAGCTCCACACAGAAAGAATCTGTCAGAAAGATTCGCTGTGGACAATGTTGGGGCAGGATGACCAACTCTTCCCAGTTTGCCTGAGACTTTGTTGTTTTAAAGTTAAGTTGCATGTCGTGGAACCCCCTCTCTCCCAGACCCAACTAGAAGACAGGTCTCCCGATGTTTGGTCTTTCCCATGGGCCAGACACCATGTGATACAGGCTTTCCGTGATTGGCTACTTTTATCCTCAGACCACCATGAGGTACGATGTCTTTGTTGCGTCCACACAGATGAGGAAGCTGAGAGAGCAAATGACTTATTCCAGATCATACAGCAAGGATGTGATGGAACCAGAGCCACGCCCTGCTCTTTTGACCACAAACAAAAAGCCCTTAACAAATAACTAGATCTTACCATCTTCTATGTAAAAAAGAACAGTCAACAGGATGTTCAAATGGCCTGTGGTCTTTCTGAAGAGCATAATGGTGGGGGTTTCTGTCTCACTGTACAGGGATATCTACTCTCCGCTCTCTGTAGCATTTGGGCTTCTGTATCTTACTTCGCATTTGCTACAACTTTGGCAGCCAGGGTCTGATGGAAATATTCAGCGGGCGGTGACAGGACAGCTTCTTGGGGTGACTCGGTTTCGGATGTTTCCTTTCTCCAAGGAATTCTGCCCTCAGGAGACTCTTGGGACTGGGGAATCTTCTGTCTTCTTGCTTATTTCTAAGGGTTATATTGATACTGATGAGAAATGATAGTTCTTTGCGTATTGTTTTCTCCATCAGACTGCAACTTTATCTGAGGAACTTTTTCACTCAGGAACAATCTATCACTTTTACAAATCAGAAGTTATAAACATATATTCGGTGGGTCAAATGTGGCCCATGGGGCTACTGGTGTTGTGGCTGTTTTCATGTTTCTATGCGAAAAATAGAAGACTGGACGGCACTGGGGTTGTAATCCTACACAGGGTCTTGGCTGGCCCTGAGCAGCTGTTACCCCTTTGGACAGGGCAGGTGACAGTTCACCACAATTCTCCCCGCCACTCCAGTTTTCTCCCCAACATCAAAGCCAGAATTGCTTGAACTGGTGTTTTTCTTACACGAGGGACATATGTCTTACATTGCTTTTCCGACTGGGGAAATAAGTCTCTGTGATTATTTTTACCCCTGGCCTTGGTCATGTTTTTATTTAATCTGTCTCTGGCCCCTACCATAATTTCAGTTCAAGTAAATTATGGAGGAAAGGCTTTTACAGATTTTGTTATCTGTAATTTACCTAGAATTTTCTAGAATTTTGGATTGTATAGCTTCATCCTTCCAAACTGTAGGAACCAGGTAGGATTGCAAAAATCTCTCTTCAGCGTGAAAGATGTACATTCAAAACTTAAAACACTTATGTTCTCTCACCACTGTTTTACAGACAAAAGAAGAGTTTCACACCAGAATCTAAGGTAGACATAACCATGAAAAAAAGACTAAGCATCCCCAGGAAAAGAATCACATGTGGTTGTTAAGCGGGAGAAACCCTCTTGAAGCTGGCTTAAGCACAAAAGGGCTTCAGGAACAGCTAGATCCAGGGGCATATGTGAGGCTATCAGCATCTGGGTTCTTTCTCCCTCTCTCTCTCATCTCTCAGCTCTGCTTTTCTCTCTAATATCTTCCTTTTCAAGCAGGTTTTTCCTGAAAATGGTGCTGGCTCTGGAAGCTCCAGGCTTTTATCTTCATGGTTTGGAATCCAGTGGAGGGTGGACAGATCTCTCTCGGGTGGTTTAGCAAGGTTCTGGCATTAGCTCAGTTTTTATCTGTGTCCAGCCAGCCTGAACCCATCACAGCAGCCCGATCACGTGCACAGCTCTGACCGGCCAGGTCTGAGTCCTGTGCCTTTGTCCAGGGGCGGAATTAATTTGTCTGAACCCACGGTGAATAAAGGAGAGAAAAGTGTAATTCTCCAAGGAAAACCCAAGTTCTAGTCCTAGAAGAAGGAGAGAAGAATGTTGAGTAGGAAAACATAAATAAATTAATTATTAGATAAACATATAAATGTCTCCTACTGGGACCTTGAACCATCGTAAGTATTTGCACCTTTTTCTTATTTTTTTTTTCATTCCATCCAAGACTCATGAAGGTAGACCCCATCCAACATTTGAATGCCTCCGTTCTGACATACTTAGTCCCCTGCTATCGAGCGTGGTCTTCCAGCCCCTAAACACACATTTTGTTTGACTTTGCCGCAGACCTCGGACTCACCGGGGAAGGCTGTCACACCCCCGGAGCCGGAGCCGGAGCCGGCGGGAGCAGGCCAGAAGGGCAAAGAGGGTTCCTCCAAGGACAAGAAGGTGGCGGCTGAGGGGAACAAGCAGAAGAGCCACAAGCAGGAAGCCAAAGAACCGGCCCAGTGTGCGGCACCGGCCGCGGGCGAGGCGAACTCGCTGCAGAATGGGGACAAGCCCCATAAGAGGCAGGAGAAGCGGCGACAGTCCCTCGGGGGCTTCTTCAAGGGCCTGGTAGGTGGATTGTTGGTCTCTTCTTTCTGGGCTCTTGGGCCAGGAATGTGGTTCCCGCCTTCAAGGTGGGACTGGCCTGGACCTTGGTCAAGGAAATACTGATGGAGCTCGGGCTGTCTGGCAGGGCCTGGGCTAGGCTCAGAGAGCAGCGTGGGCAGAGAACTCGCCACTGGCGGGGGGAGGGGGGCACTCAGGTGCGGATGGCTGGGGGCAGGGATACTGAGTGGACCAAGAGCAGGGAGGCAGAAGGCAGGTGTGAGGGAGCCCCCAGGGGGGGTTGAAAGGAGTATCGGGGGGAAGCTTCTCCGCAGAGATCACGTCCAAGGTGAGGCCTCAAATGAGCCTGTGGAGGAGGAGGCAAGGGGAGGCCTGAAGGCCCAGTGAGTCCCAGCAGTGGAGAGACAGCACAGAAGTGAAATCATCCAGCGGGAAGAGAGCACAGGAGGACAGAGGCAAGGTGGCAAGAACAGGTGAAGATAGGGAACATCCGTGTTTGTCTGTGGCCAAAGGGAGCCTTGAAGTGTTTAAATCAGGAAGCTGCTCTGAACATGACCTTGGGTGGTGGGTATACAGAGGTTACTAAAAATTAGCTCCTGCCTTCCAGAGAGGCCTGGTCCAGGGTGAGGGGAGCCCAGACATTCAACAGTTAATTAACCTCCGGGTTATGTGTGTGTGTGGGGGGGGGTTCTTCTCTGTCTCCTCCCCTGGACTGGCAGCTTTGGGAGCGCAGCGACCAACCATAGTGCCATGAGCAGACGTGCTGTCCTCCCCAGTGCGGGGCTGGAGCGTAACTGACAGCAAAGCAGGGTCTGTTGAATGAAGAAAGGAGTGGATGGAGTGAAATACGGCACCGGAAACTGTCTTCTTATATTTGGGATAGTATCGATCCTAGCAAATGAGGAGAGTCTGAAGGTCATTAATCAAAACTTAAGCAAGGAGGTCAAGTCTCCACTAGGAGAAACGGGTCAAGTCATACCTAGGCCCCGGGGGAGGTGGCTTGACCCATAGCGCAGGACAAGGAAATCACAGGGACAGTCGCCACGGGACTGGGGTTAGCTGGGGTTAGCGGCAGGCTGTGATGGAGCTGAGGCAGGAACACTGAGGCAGGAACACGAAGCGAGCGACCGTAAAGCAATTGATCGCTCCCTGATTGTCCCCGTCACTGAACACCTGTAGGTATTAGTGACTCTGATGGATGGAGGCGGGGGAGTACGATGGTTCCCCTGGGCCCAAGGCTGGTCTCCAGACAGCATCTATGGGAACCTGTTAGAAATGCAGGCTCTTGGGGTCCGTGTTTATGTTATGGATGGACGGCATCGTAGTCCATCTCATCTGCGTGTCTGAGTACGGGTATGGAACCTCAGGGTAAGACAGTGCTTGAAGTCATAGTTTGAGGCTGTTTGGAAATGGGAAGCACTGGTACAGAGCCCCTCTCCCACTCCCAAGGCTCTAGGTTTTAAGCCCTCTCCGGGTTTTAAGAGATGATGAAGACCGGAGACCGACCATCAAGGCAGTGAGGGGGAAGAGGGAGCCTAAAAGACCGATCATGCTTTGAGTGGTTTAGTTGGAAAATTTGTCCCCATTCTCTGCTCTAATTCCTTGGAGAGGAGTGTAAATCCTTTTCTAGACAGTTCCAAACTGACTGTGCATTTTTTTTTTTTTTTGCCCAAAGTTCTGGTCAAACCATTCCCTGCCAAGCCACAGTGTCTGGGGTGGTGTACCGCGTGGGGAGGGTGCTGTTCTGGAAAGATGCTGAGCTCATGGGCCCAGTGAGTTCCCCACTTTCATGGTGGTTTTTTGTTGTTTTCTGGGTTTTATTTTATTTGTTTTATTTAATTTTTTGGTCAGAGGCTCATGGAATGTTCTCTGTATATCTCTTTACCCACGAAATCCCTGGAGCAAACAGGATGGCTCTCATCCAGTAGTTCTGAACCCGTGATTTTCTATGCAGGAGACACTCGGCAATGTCCAGAGACCATTCTGATGGTCACTACGGGGAGTAGGTGCTGTGGGGACATTGTGGGTAGAGACCAGGGGTGTTGATAAATGTCCCACAGTGCACAGAACAGCCATGGGGCTGTAGTTAACCTTCAGTGTGATAGTCCTGGGGCAGGTACATGAGGCAAACTGCCCTAAACTAATGGGGCATTCCTGATTGTCCCTGTCCCTGAATATCTATGGGTATCAGTGACCTTTGATAGATGGGGGTGGGGGAGCCCAGAGTGTCAGTGGGGCCAGAGCTGAGAAGCCCAGAGGTGACCACATAGCACCTAGGGCAGTAGAAAGAACAGAGCAGTGCCCAGGAGCCTGTGCTGTGAATTTGGACAGCTTCCCTGGAGTCCTGGACCTACCACTTCCTAGCTGTGTGACCTTGGGTTAGTCACTTAACCCCTCGGAGCCTCAGGTTGCCCCTGTGCAAAGCTGAGGTGATAAGGACAGCAACCAGTCTAGGGTTCCTGGGAAATCAAGTGAATGTGTGTCCTCAGGGGTCCAGTACCAGACATGAAGCAGGAATTCCGTAGTACACGCTACCATTTCCCCGGCAAATACTCCGGGACCTTGCGTTTGGACTGGAGCCTGACCCCCAGCAGTTGTCCCCAGTTGGGACATTGGCCCACATTGCTATCACCTAAACCCATGTGGGACTCCTCTCCCTGCAATTCATCCTCCCTCTGTCTGCATGCCACCTCCCTTTCTCCCTGCCCAAGGCCGTCTGCCCCAGTCGGTTCCCAGATTCACTGCCTGCCCATCCCTGCTTCATCTTTGCCCTCCAGGAGCGGTCCTCTCTGCTCGGCTCCTTCCTTCTCCGCTCCTTCGTCGTGCTGCCTGGATTCTAATGGGGGCAGCCTCCTTGGCATTTCGTGCTGCGTCTGAAAAGAACTGGAAGGAAACCTTTAGAACTCATCAAGGGGCACTGTTTGCAAGCATTTGGCTTTTGAGCAGAGGGACTCGATTGACAAAGGAAATGTCAGAACGTCTCGTGTGTATGTGCATGTGTGTATAGACATACACATAAATGTGTCTATGGAAACAGCTATTTGATCAACATGGGGCTCTGATTGGTGGAGGAGTATTTTCCCCACCCCCTCTTTTGCCCAAGAATCACCCACTCGATGGTGCCCTCATCTGTCCCACTGCCGTGGATCCCTGACGCGCTCAAGTAGTGCTAGGAGTCCGTTTTACAGAGGAACGGAGATCAGAAAGAAGATAGGGCCTATTCTTTATTCCCCTGCCTGTCACCTTTGGCCCTGTCCACTGGGCACAGGCTGACCCGAGGCAGGGCTTGGAAAGAGTGGACAAGGCCCAGGCTGGAGCCTGGAGAGCAGGTGCTCTGAGGTTCCGATTCTAAGTCAGGGGGTCCCGTCCTACGCTCCATAAGCCGGTCCTGACTTCTCTTAGAGCCTGTTTGCACATCTGTACAACTGAGCTAATCATCACTGCCTGTCTCACTGGGCCGGCGAGAGGACCAGACGAGGGTGAGCTTGGCCTGGCGAAGGGCAGTCCTGAGACCGTAGGCAGGACGGAGGTGACCTCAATGCCTCTGATCACCAAAATCCATGCCTCATGGGGGCCAGAAGGGGGACTCGCTTTACCTTGGAGCAGGCCTCTGAGATAAGTTGTATCTCCCCCACTGGAAAGATGAAGAAACTGAGTTCAAAGAGTTAAGTCATTCCTCCAAGTTGTCACAGAGCCAGAAAGCGATAGAACTGGGCATTGCATCCCACATCTGGTGGGAGACCTTTCTTTCATCCCCCACTCATGCAGAAGGGTCTGTTTGTTTAACATAGGACCTGGCACGGAGTAAGTGCGAGATAAATGGCGTCACCGCTCATGATATTTCAGACTTTCATTAGGGTGCAACTTCTTTATATTTTTCTCCAGGGACCAAAGCGGATGTCGGACGCCCAAGTGCAAACAGACCCCGTATCCATCGGACCGGTTGGCAAATCCAAGTAAACAAATCACTACAGTTCCCACCAAGTTGTCCTGCCAGCGAGAAGTCTGCTCCCTACTCCATTTCCTCCCCGAGCCCACTCCGTGTACATAGTTTTCTTTTAATGGCCATCCAATGAAATTCTGCCTACAAATTAAGCCTGAGCTGTTGTATATTGAGGTGTATTATTTACGTCTCTGGTCCAATCTTTTCCGGGAAAGAGTCGTCAAGATGGTTTAGCCGGTGAACCAGTCAGGTCGGGAGACTTGATGGTTGCCAGGCAGGGGTGGAGCAGGCGGAGGGAGGCATTCTCAGTAAGTTATGTGAAATGGCAGGGGCAAGTAAGTTGCAGAAGAAGGATGCCGGCTGGAAGGAATTAAGCTTTGTAGGAAATACACGCTCATCCTCTACACTCAAAGAGGAGAGACAAAAATCCGTTTAAGTTCACATTTCGAGGAGGGACAGCATGGGCTCTGGAGCGGGGGGGGGTTGCCAATTTCCTGGAATGGAACGTGTGGGAAATGAAAAAGGAATGAATAACTTTGCTTGTCGAATAGGGTCTTTGAAAGTTATTGATGAGAAAGGAAAAGATTGACCGCAGAGGGTTTGAAATGATTTGGGGAAACAATTGCTGTTTGAAACTCAGTGAGGAGGGCAAGGATTACAACTTCAAAAAAAGAAAAAAAAAAAAAAAAAGCAGAACGAGTGAACGAAGTTGCAAGTCTACTTTGCAACACAAGGGGGCACTGAGGTCTCCATTTTAATCCTGCATCCCGTAGCCCTAACAAAGATTTGGTCTCTGCGATCTCACATTATTAATGCTTCTCAGATGGCGGAGGGGCTTGCTTCCTCTGTTCTGTCTGACACTTATCTCAAGTCTGTCTGTAATTTCCTAATGTTCTCAGGATGTTTTCTGATAAAACCCTCCCCATAACCCCAGTTAATAAAAATTTCTGGAAGATTATTCAAATACCCGAGGTTTTCTTAATACGTGTACAGAGGAGTAAATAGGACCTTGAGTCTATTAAAATGTAATTCAAAGTAGCATATGATTGACTGATACCATGTATGCTGTATCTTTCTTTTTCCGATTTAATAAAAAAAATACATTTACATCTAAAGCATCTTTTAATTTTCAACTTTTAAAGCAGGGCTCTTGTACTCTCTGAGACAGCTTTATTGTCCACAGAATAACATCAGTCTTCTTCCTCCATCTTGGCCTCCCTCCCAGATGCTCCTAGATTTCCGTGTATATGGGCACGTGCCCTAGAAATGGGTGCACGTATATTTGCATAGCTACACGGGCACTTATATAAAAGTACTGCCTGAGCCCAGGCTGCCTAGGGCAGAGCCTGAGGCAGAGATTCTGGAGCCTGTGATAAGCCGGAGGAGGACTTCGGGTGGAGAGAGGAATCGACCCACAGGGCAGGGAGGTTGCTGAATGAGGATTGGCCTCAGGGGAGTTGAGTTTCATCGTGAGCCCCTAGGTGGCGCTGGAGCAGGACTTGCACCTTCCACTCGGGTGGACCTTGAGCCAAGGGGAGCCGGCCCTTGTACCCCTGTTGCTGAGTTCCCGCACACCCTGGGAAGTGGTGGGACAGGCAAGGTGCTCCCACTGCGCTGGGAGGTGGGTAGCTAGAGAATGTGTGCCTGGGTCATGTCCACGATAGATAGACACATGATATGCAGCTAATGTGTTTACACCGACGTAAGGAACACGTCCATACATATAAATGTACTTTACATGTAGAAGTGGAGAAATGTATTTACACATCCATACTCAACATATTACATACGAGAATAAATGCATGCACATTCAAATGCATACGCATACAAATAGATCCGCACATACACGCTAGCTTGTAAAAATCCATCACACAATGATCTGACATAAACACTGAATTCGGTCTTCTGACAAGTTTTCACATTAAGTAAATAAAACCATGGCTTTGGCAAAAGAAACAAAAAGACATTTGGAAAAGGTGTTCAGGAAAACGATGGTATCCCTGAAAAACCAGATGTGGGGGGCCCGTTGTGGCGGGGGTCTGCTAGCTCCCAGCTTGGATGGCCCAATGCTAGGTTTCAGATAAAGATCAGAGGCCCTTTCCTTAGCTGCTTCAGACCTGCTGCTCAAACCTGGAGATCAGTGTCTGTGGCTCACTCAGCTGAGAATGACTTCATGCCACTTCCGGTCTGAATGCTTAACTTGGCATGCATCAGGGAAAAAATCCTTTGGGGAAGCCCTTACTGGCCGGGTGACTTTCCTCCACCAACACCATCAGGGAGCAGGGGACGGATTCAAGAAAACCAGGCAGCTGCTCATTCCTTTGTCCCCGAGCACCAGGGGGGGTCGCCTTGTGTGACCTTTGGTGAGCTCTGGGCCATACTAGTCCATTGAGAAAGGTGACAGTTTCATTTGCAAGTTTCACCTCACTGGGCACAGGGGCTTTTGGCCCTGATGAGAAACGCCTCCAGGCAGGACTGAGTCACTAAATGCAGAAGAAGCCCTCCCATCCCCCAACTCCCCGGAAAAAAAATATTTTAAAAAATATTTTCAATGATGTTCTTTGCTGAGAACCTCTCTGCACAGCCAACACTTTCTGTAACGGTTCCATAGTGCCCTGGCCAAAAAAGAGAGCAAGCTTTGAATGAAATTGCTTGGGGTTGTCGTTGTTGTCGATGTTTTTAAAGGCAAGAAAACTTAAGCCTGAGCAGACTCAGACAATGACTTATCTGGGGGATTGGAAAGCTAGCTGTAGCCTCAGAACCACGATAAACCCTCATCTTCAAGTTTTGAGGGTTTGTTGTTTGATTTTGTTTTTTGGGGTTTTTTTGTTTGTTTGTTTTTGTTTTTTAGCTGGGAGCTCATTCCTGATGCATTTACAGTCAATACTAATTTCCATGTCTCCCGCTGAACTCCTGTCAAAAAAAAAAAAAAGAGCAGAAACTCCCCCCGAGTGAGCTCTACAAAGCTCTTGAGTCTCAAAAGTGTCCAGGGACTGAAGTTCCTCCAAATATGGAGCCCAGAAAGGCCACTTGGATGGCAAGGCCGAGTACACGGAAACACGAAGCCGGCCTTGCAGCTGAAAGGGAATTATGGCCTGCGGGAGGGGGCCGGGGGGGTCTCGTTAAAAATTTACAAACTCATTTATTCATTTATTTTTTATTTTTAGGTGCACAGGAAGAGGTGTCTTCTCCGGTGTCAAGAAGAAGTGGCCCTTCCAAGAATTGAGCTTTTGAGCTGAACCGGCCGCCCCTGGGGGGAGAAGCAAAAACAAAACTCTGCTTTCCAGTTCCAGCCGATGGTGACTTTTGGACTGATATCCATAAAAGCATCCATTCAAAAGCGCGCTTGTACTCAGCAGCCCATGAGGTCCCTCGCGAATTCATCGTCTAGGGAAGGGGAGGCATACCTCCAGAAATGCCCAAAAGGAAGGGAAAAGGAGAAAGAAAGTTAAGTTCTTCAGCTTTTGTTGCATCCCCTGCTCTTTAAGCAAATTATCTGGGATTTCAACACACACACACACACACACACACACACACACACACACACACACTTGAGCTGGACTGCCCTTATTTGTTTGCAAACGGTCCAGATGCAAGGGGGCCCCATTAAATGAGACTCCAAGAGCCTGGAATTTATGGCCTGTTAGTTCCTTCGCACAGTGCTTCCCCCCGCCCCCGCCGCACTCCCCCCCCCAGAAGGGAGCTCATTTCCACAACCCGGGCCTGACAAATGTCATTTCTTATGTCAAACACTCCCATGTGGATCTTAAACCCTAAACAAGAAAATCAACTAGCCTTCCTGCTGTAAAGAACATTTTGGAAAGGAGAACAATTTCAGGGATCGACTCACCCAAGTTGCAGGCAGAGGGCATGCGCTTTGCAGAATGGTAAGGAAGGTAAGGGCTGGTTTTAACCAGCCTCCCAAGCTCCCTTTTGAAGCCTTCTTAAAAGGCCGTTGCACCGTGAGTAGCAATCAGGCTTCTCCACAGTCTAGATCTTCCTCACTCCATCACTGAACACACGGTGCCCCTGGCCCACTGGAAATTACGGGCTCCATTAGGGAGAAAAGAAATTACTTACTGAGCAGCAAATTCTGTAAATTTGTAATTCAGATCTTAGCGCAGGCCTGAAAGCCGGTTGGGATCCAGCCCTTTGCATAAATCGGTGTTCTGGAGAGCTTAACCCTTGCGGCTCTGTTTCCTTTCCCCCCCCCCACCCCGCCCCCCAGAAAGCTGCTCATTTTAGCATCCCCCTCCCCTGGCCCTTTAATTGGCCAAAGCAGACATCGGGTGCGGATTTCACAGATGTAAGGATAACTATAATATGCCTCACATTCTCGCCCTTAGCAATTTATAGAACACTTTCTGAATACGTCGTCTAATTCAAAGCTGTGTACCTCTAACTGAACTTAATTACCGCCTTTGTTGTATTTTATTACGAGGGCACAGGCACTCACGCACCTGTATGCCTTTTTTTTCTCTCTCTCTCTCCAAAGGAGCACTTCTTGACAAAATGGCCCCCAGCTGCATTTCTGGCAATGGTTGCCATTGAAGGAGTTCATGGCTTAAGGGATTGACTCTCCTTGGAGGATGTTTTGTTGAAATCTGGCCACATGGGGGAGTTCTAGGACCTAGGGTGCCACTCCCATCTCCAGCCAAGCCCTATTTCCTCACTCCCTAACCGGGAGGTTAGGCCAAAAAAGCTCTTAAGAATGTGTTTGTTGATTGACTTGTAGAAAGTAGTCAAGTTTAATGAGGAGAACTAGAACAAGAGGGGGTCAGCCTGGGCAAGTCAACTGCCTTCCACAATTCCCAGTCTGCCCGCCCAAGACAAAGTCAGTTGGTTGGTTCTTCCATTCTTATCAGCTTAGGCTTGGAAGAAGCTTAAGGAAGGACAGTGTGATTGTAAACTATTTAGGTTGGTATCACGGCCAAGCATTGATTTACGTTCCCCTCACCGGCTCTTCATGCTCCATAACTTAGCCTTACCTCTCACGTCTCTGCACCCAACTAGCAGG